GAAAGCAAAAATGAGGGGAATGCGTATAGTAATTACGTAAACAGGGAAAAAGCTAGTAATCTTTTAAAAAAAAGCAATTTTTACACTTGTGAACGTAGTAGCGCTTATGAATGAGAGAGAACGAGTTCAAGATTATTCAACTGAGTGGCGAGAAAATCAGTGCAGATCAGTTCGATGTGAACTAAACTTAGTTTATTTTTTGTTAGTCGTTTTTGATTCGATCATGTGTTTTATTTGAAGAAAAGAAAAAAAAAATTAAAAAAAAATAGAGTAATAGTTTAGAAATAATCGAACTAGTTGCGCGCTTTTATTAGTGACTGTAGCTGAAAATGTGAGTTATCAGTAAACGTATGTAATATTTCTTTAAAAACTTGACTGTTTTTTCTTTTTATTCATTAAACGTACCATCCTTAGCTGTATACACAACGTAAAAAAGTATAGATACAAATGTATAAACAGATATATATTTATTTTATACAAGTAAGCTATTTGTCTTGCTTTTTTTTCTAACATTCGTATTTCATTATAAATAATAAAACGTAGTGGATAAAACCTAAATGGAAGCGAGAAGTGTAGCGTGAAGACACGGTGCTGTATCAAAGTTCCAAAAAAAAAAAAAAGAAAAAAAAAATACACGAGAAAAACGTTTGCATGTTGAATAACTAAGAGTGCACGTGTCTATCTGATTTAAAGAAACAAAAAGAAGCAGAGTGCCTCATTCTTACTAAAAGGATTTCGTTTAATATATTTAAAAACAAAACTATCATTCTTAAATCTTGACTTAAAACTAATGTTTCTTTAATAAAAAATAACTCAATGGTGTATCTGAGACACTCCAAGTAACGTGAAATGAAACATAGCCAAGTGCCTATACTCTCATTGAAAAAAACATAGACGAGCACAGCAGACAATTTATTCAGTGATCTCTCAAAACCGTATTTCGTTCTTGCTAGTGAGAAAGTTTATTAAACATGTATTTTTCAAAATTACTTTTTATTGACATTTTTTGAATTTTACACTTCCATGATGTATTTGAGAGCAAAAAAGACTAAATTTTTTAGCTCAAAATTCTCACGATGAATACAACAATTTTTTTGATAAAAAAAAAAATTATCTAACAAGTACGTAAAATTTTTGACGATTGACAATATCCCGATTTTTTTCTTAGCAGTATTGAACTGTTGATTTTAAAACAAACTTTTTACAGTTCTATGTATACCTATGGAAGAAATATTGAACATTTATAACATTAAATCACTACTTATAGGAAACAAAATCTAATTTGAAAAGGTATTTTCAAGCCAACTAAACTAAGCGAAAAAGTAGATAATCATTTATTCAATATATTGAAGATGACAGAAAAACTATTTCTCGCTACTCAATCCTTCGTAGTTACTGTATCGATATATTTATGCACGATGTAATATGCTGTTAGAAACTAGTATGGGCAAGCTCTTTTCAATGTAAGACAGCATTATGAGGATGAAAGTAGAGCGACTAATGGCAAAAAGCATTTCTGACTCGATTGAGCATAAATGAAGAAATAATACAGTGAAAACTCGTATAAATGTTTTCGAAAATTGCAATTCTTTTCTGTACTCACAAGAATGAGTGTACTATTTATTATATGTGTATAAAATCCTCGTTTTGTTTCGTTGTATTTATTAGAGTATATTTTTTGGATAAAACTAAGCCGCAATGAAAAAAATTGTTTAGAAAGTAGTTTTTAACATAATCGATTCTTGAACACTTGTTTTTTGAAAGAAAGAGCTACAAAACAATACGACAGTTGAGTATATTCTGAAACTGTGTTTTAAAGCATCACAATCTCCATAAATGACCCTGTCGAATGTTTAAGGTGTCCTAAACGTTAAGTCTTATGAGGAGGTTGTCAGATGAATAAGTAATGATCATCCAAGAAATATGAACAAAAATACTTTGATTGGCCTCCTCTCAACAGCCACTAATTTTATCTCATTTTTTTACGATTTGTCTCTAATGGTAGAAAATAAATTATTACAAATAAGCAATAATACGTAAATACAGTCTTGTGTGTACAAATAATGCCCTGGTTATATAGTTATAGTAAAAAAATATTTCTTTAGACCTTTAATTTATATATTTTTTTAAGCATAAAACACAGAACCCTTTTTAATTTTATTTTTATAATTTGCAACACCAGTAGTAAAATTCAATACTATCTTGCTGTGAAAACAAGTTATTTTTTATTTTTTTTATTTTAACGTCATTTGACCACAACCTTTGAAATTGATTTCTTTCAGATCTAAAGTTGATAGCAGCGAAAAGAGCACGCAAGAAGAGACAGAGACGTCGAGTTAGCTCTTCAGGACAATTGCAACAACTCTCGATAAACATTTGCTTTGCAGAAGTCCCGCGAAAGTTGTCCTTTTCATCGTATTTTGGCAACCAGTTCAATGAATTTTTGTGTAATTTGAGAATATTACACGAATAAGTTAGCAAAGCCCGTGGTATCTAAATGTACATTGTCGGGAGCTTGCTTCCTTCAGGTAAACAATGTTCGGCGCTGTTTATCTACAATGAACTTTTAATAATTATGCGCCTGTACATACCATATTATTTACACGTTATGGTAATAAAATAAAATACAATAAAATATAATCATTTCATCCACATGTATGGAAAAAAAATATTTTGTTTGATTTTTTTTTTACATTTACATACAACATTTTTACTGCAGCTATCGAATATGCTTACATTGATGGTAATTGACATTTATACCAAATATTTCATAAACATCCATCTGTGTCTTTTATCGCGAAATCTTTTCATTATGTATATATGAAGAGCTAATTTGTAGATAGTCAATTTTCTGGTGGAATTGTTTGAAATTAGATTTTTTTTATTCATGCAAAATTTATTTTTGTTTAATCACGAACTATTGTAAATAATCAAGAAATAGGCTGTTTCGTGCAGAACTTTTCAATAACTAAATGATTTTTTTTAACAAATTGACAAAATCACATACGCAGAAATAAATGTCAAATTACGTTCCGTGTGCAATTTGTAGTAATTAATTAATAATGTACAATAATAATAAAAAAAATGTACTAAAGTGTGTCTTCTTAATTTTTTTTTTATCTTTACTGGTATAAAATTGATGAAAAAATCTAACAAGTTTTCTTTTTTTGTTTTTCTACAGTACATACGTAGCGAGTGCAACAATTACAAATACACGTGCGACGAGAGCAAAAAGCCAGAGAACAAAAACCTCAATCGTTACAGAGATGTATCACCGTACGATCACTCGAGAATCATCCTTAAGAAGAGTCCATGTAACTATATCAACGCCAATATTTTGCGGGTAAACACAAGTCTTATAGTTGACGTGAAAAATATGTTTAAATTTGTCGATAAAAAAACATAAATCATACGATTCAAAACAGATGGAGCGGGCCAATAGGCAATACATCTTGACGCAAGGTCCCTTGCCGAGTACAGCTGGCCACTTTTGGCTCATGGTGTGGGAGCAGAACAGCAAAAGCATCATAATGCTGAACAAAGTGATCGAGAAGAACCAGGTGAAGTGCCATCAGTACTGGCCACTGGCTAACTCGACGGAGCCCACGATGACGTTTTCGGACGTTGAGCTCAAGGTTGAGTTTGTCAGCAAGACTAAAGCGACGGATTACACGACCAGCACGCTAAGGTAACATTTGCAAGTCTATGAGAACTATGGCCTTTGCTCATTAGGTTCATTCAGTTGATGTTACTTAGTTTCAAGAGAAATCCCGATAGTTTTATTTTTGGGGGAATATAAATTCATGCACCCTACCATTTCCAAGTAACAGTCAGACATAAGTAAATTACCATAACTGATTTTACCGGTGATTCGAAACGACATCTGATTTTCTTCGGTATCAATTGTTTTCAAAATGATATGTGTCTGAAATTCACGTGAATCCATTCATCTTTCGATCGTTTATTAATTAAGCATCGTCATTAAAAAAAAACTATCTCTCTTTTATTAGACTAACGAATCTTGGAACGAACGAGAGCAGAGAAATCCTGCATTTTCACTACACTACTTGGCCGGATTTTGGCGTGCCACAGAGTCCTATGGCGTTCCTAAGATTTTTGGCTGACGTCAGACAGTCCGGTGCCCTTGATCAGCACGTCGGACCACCTGTCGTTCACTGCTCGGCGGGTATTGGCAGATCGGGCACTTTTTGTCTAGTTGATACATGTTTGGTATTGGTACGTGCACCTACGTTTGAGTTTGAAATCGAGTGATTTTTTTTCAATTCTATCGATTCAACATGTTGATTTTCTGAATTATTTCGTAGATAGAGAAAAATGGATTAAATTCAGTAAACGTGAGGGAAGTATTGCTGGAAATGAGACGATCGCGGATGGGACTGATTCAAACGCCGGATCAATTGTGGTTCTCTTACGCTGCCATAATAGAAGGATCGAAACATTTACCTCTAACTAACGTAATTACATTGATTTGTCAACCATGTTATTTGTATTTTTATCCTGCATGACTCTGAAAAATATGGGTGTTGCATTGCAGACGATCGGTAGCGATGAAACATTGACTAATCATTACGACGTCGTAAACAATTCGTCACTGGAAGATGATGACGAACCACCCCCACTGCCACCACCGAGGGGCGAGTCCTTAACTCGTAGCATGAAGTCAGATCAGACACCTAGCCCCAATAACGAAAATGGTACATTCTTTTCTCAATTTTAAAACATCATCTTGTACTAACCCTAACACTTTATGATAAATAATTATTTTTGAAATAACAAATTTTTTTTTCTCATTTGATACTTTAATATCTCAAAGTATTAATTATACATTGCAGAAAACCCTGTAAGCAATCCACCCAATAAACCATTGCCATGCGAGCCCCCACGTGGTATTAGTAATTCTAATTCAATGGCTAATCACACTAACAATAATGATGACGACGCATCGAGTGCAGATCCAAGTACGAGTGTTACTGACGAAACGATCGGCTCGCCGTCCAGCCCTGAATCGTAAGTGCAACACAATGGTCTCCGAATCCTTGAAGAAACTGACCCGTATTACTGTGTAACTAATCATTTCTTTATTCTTATACATAGAAATGAATTGCGCCGACGACGGATGGAAAAGAACGAGCGGCTCGAAACGCAGCTACGAGAGATCAAGCGGAAACAACACGAGTCCGAAGAGTGGCAGAAATTCAAGAGGTCATTATTTTCACCAATTACTGTAGGCGCCGCTATTATTGGTGGGGGAGTGCTGTTTATCTACGGCTACTATTATTTCCGTGGCTAGGCGCTCTATAAAGAAATGAATGTCATAGAAATTACAGGATTAGGGGTGGTAAAACGATTTAACAGCATTGATTGAATCCATTATACGAGAGAAACGGGATACTAATTACTCTCAAAAAGATTAACGTCTTAGTGAAATCGTCGGTAATCATTGTCGAAATAAATTCGTGATAAACCGTGAACTAGAAAGCGGACATTTGCAGTCCTGACGATGCGGTAAATTTCGATCCCACTCCGCTTATTTTGATCGATAGACAACATATTTTTTTACACAAAGTTGACGTTAGTAAAAAAAAATAAAAACAAAAAAGGACTAGGAGCGGTTGATACTTAGCTCAGTTGCGTAATTAAAAATTTGGTGAGTTACTGGCGACTCATCGAAGCTGAGAGTACCATCCAAACACAGCTGCGAGCGGTCCTTTATGATTTCAGTGCTTTCATGAGAAATATTACAAAAGAGAAACATGTCGTCCAAAAAATATAATAATTCGCGCGTATGATTTAAATATTGTAGAAAAAAAAATTGGAAAAAAAATTTTAGAGTTTTTTAAAAACATTGTTTCGAATGTGACTTATTTTTTAAAAACCAACAAGTTTTTGATAATAACATTAATTTAAAATAGGATAGAAGAGAAATCATTTTTGTATAGAAAAAAGCGACTTTCCTTTCTTTATAGTTAAAAACTTTTTATGCAGTACGACCTCGCGCACCCGTGGATTGTTAAACGAAAGATTCGCGATTTTTTCTTTACCGTTTCAAGGTTTACTAGGTGTTTTAAAGCATGCACGTGTATTAAAAAAAATATATAATGAATTTCTGTCGTAGAATCGAGCAATGACACTAGTGTTACGCTATTACTTATTCTTGATGATTGTAATTTTATGGAATCAATATTTATGCATTATGTATGGGTAGTTTCTCTGTGATCAACTGTGATGCAGATTACATGTATGCAAGTCGTAGCCAGAATTATAATATTTAAGCAAACATATATGTATAACTTTGGTTAGTTAATTAACATTTTACATCAAATTAATTTTTGAATTTTGTTAATCTATAATATTTATGAATGCAGCGTTATTAATAATCACAAGAGTATAATACCATATAGAAGAAGCACTTGTTAACATAAATTCAATCTCAAAGATACTATATACAACATATATTCAAGTTGATTTTGGGTGTTTCTTTTGCATATTTTTTCACAACATATTTTTTCTTTGCACTTTCACACAAAGTTATAACATGTTTGTAACAAGATTTAAAGTATATAGTACTAAGTTAAAGATTTACATACTGATTCGTTGATTTGCGATAAAATTACAATTATTGAACGTAATAGTACATATTTTTAATAACGGTGTTTCACACTGAAATATAAATCAATTTTTTGACAGTTCAACACTGTTGAATCGTCGATGAACAATTATTCGTGATATACTAGAACGATTATGCAAAAGAGAAAAAGGTACCACTTTGTTTTATTTATCACAATTTTTTTTTTTTATCAGGGATAATCCGCGATATTATGAATGTAAAATAGTAATCGTAATGCAAGTAATAAAAAAGTGAGGAAGAGGTAAAAGGAAACGGAGTGTCGTCGATTGTGACCGTAAGACTGAGAACATATTTCTGATAAGTAATGAAGAAATAATGAAAGCAAAAATGAGGGGAATGCGTATAGTAATTACGTAAACAGGGAAAAAGCTAGTAATCTTTTAAAAAAAAGCAATTTTTACACTTGTGAACGTAGTAGCGCTTATGAATGAGAGAGAACGAGTTCAAGATTATTCAACTGAGTGGCGAGAAAATCAGTGCAGATCAGTTCGATGTGAACTAAACTTAGTTTATTTTTTGTTAGTCGTTTTTGATTCGATCATGTGTTTTATTTGAAGAAAAGAAAAAAAAAATTAAAAAAAAATAGAGTAATAGTTTAGAAATAATCGAACTAGTTGCGCGCTTTTATTAGTGACTGTAGCTGAAAATGTGAGTTATCAGTAAACGTATGTAATATTTCTTTAAAAACTTGACTGTTTTTTCTTTTTATTCATTAAACGTACCATCCTTAGCTGTATACACAACGTAAAAAAGTATAGATACAAATGTATAAACAGATATATATTTATTTTATACAAGTAAGCTATTTGTCTTGCTTTTTTTTCTAACATTCGTATTTCATTATAAATAATAAAACGTAGTGGATAAAACCTAAATGGAAGCGAGAAGTGTAGCGTGAAGACACGGTGCTGTATCAAAGTTCCAAAAAAAAAAAAAAGAAAAAAAAAATACACGAGAAAAACGTTTGCATGTTGAATAACTAAGAGTGCACGTGTCTATCTGATTTAAAGAAACAAAAAGAAGCAGAGTGCCTCATTCTTACTAAAAGGATTTCGTTTAATATATTTAAAAACAAAACTATCATTCTTAAATCTTGACTTAAAACTAATGTTTCTTTAATAAAAAATAACTCAATGGTGTATCTGAGACACTCCAAGTAACGTGAAATGAAACATAGCCAAGTGCCTATACTCTCATTGAAAAAAACATAGACGAGCACAGCAGACAATTTATTCAGTGATCTCTCAAAACCGTATTTCGTTCTTGCTAGTGAGAAAGTTTATTAAACATGTATTTTTCAAAATTACTTTTTATTGACATTTTTTGAATTTTACACTTCCATGATGTATTTGAGAGCAAAAAAGACTAAATTTTTTAGCTCAAAATTCTCACGATGAATACAACAATTTTTTTGATAAAAAAAAAAATTATCTAACAAGTACGTAAAATTTTTGACGATTGACAATATCCCGATTTTTTTCTTAGCAGTATTGAACTGTTGATTTTAAAACAAACTTTTTACAGTTCTATGTATACCTATGGAAGAAATATTGAACATTTATAACATTAAATCACTACTTATAGGAAACAAAATCTAATTTGAAAAGGTATTTTCAAGCCAACTAAACTAAGCGAAAAAGTAGATAATCATTTATTCAATATATTGAAGATGACAGAAAAACTATTTCTCGCTACTCAATCCTTCGTAGTTACTGTATCGATATATTTATGCACGATGTAATATGCTGTTAGAAACTAGTATGGGCAAGCTCTTTTCAATGTAAGACAGCATTATGAGGATGAAAGTAGAGCGACTAATGGCAAAAAGCATTTCTGACTCGATTGAGCATAAATGAAGAAATAATACAGTGAAAACTCGTATAAATGTTTTCGAAAATTGCAATTCTTTTCTGTACTCACAAGAATGAGTGTACTATTTATTATATGTGTATAAAATCCTCGTTTTGTTTCGTTGTATTTATTAGAGTATATTTTTTGGATAAAACTAAGCCGCAATGAAAAAAATTGTTTAGAAAGTAGTTTTTAACATAATCGATTCTTGAACACTTGTTTTTTGAAAGAAAGAGCTACAAAACAATACGACAGTTGAGTATATTCTGAAACTGTGTTTTAAAGCATCACAATCTCCATAAATGACCCTGTCGAATGTTTAAGGTGTCCTAAACGTTAAGTCTTATGAGGAGGTTGTCAGATGAATAAGTAATGATCATCCAAGAAATATGAACAAAAATACTTTGATTGGCCTCCTCTCAACAGCCACTAATTTTATCTCATTTTTTTACGATTTGTCTCTAATGGTAGAAAATAAATTATTACAAATAAGCAATAATACGTAAATACAGTCTTGTGTGTACAAATAATGCCCTGGTTATATAGTTATAGTAAAAAAATATTTCTTTAGACCTTTAATTTATATATTTTTTTAAGCATAAAACACAGAACCCTTTTTAATTTTATTTTTATAATTTGCAACACCAGTAGTAAAATTCAATACTATCTTGCTGTGAAAACAAGTTATTTTTTATTTTTTTTATTTTAACGTCATTTGACCACAACCTTTGAAATTGATTTCTTTCAGATCTAAAGTTGATAGCAGCGAAAAGAGCACGCAAGAAGAGACAGAGACGTCGAGTTAGCTCTTCAGGACAATTGCAACAACTCTCGATAAACATTTGCTTTGCAGAAGTCCCGCGAAAGTTGTCCTTTTCATCGTATTTTGGCAACCAGTTCAATGAATTTTTGTGTAATTTGAGAATATTACACGAATAAGTTAGCAAAGCCCGTGGTATCTAAATGTACATTGTCGGGAGCTTGCTTCCTTCAGGTAAACAATGTTCGGCGCTGTTTATCTACAATGAACTTTTAATAATTATGCGCCTGTACATACCATATTATTTACACGTTATGGTAATAAAATAAAATACAATAAAATATAATCATTTCATCCACATGTATGGAAAAAAAATATTTTGTTTGATTTTTTTTTTACATTTACATACAACATTTTTACTGCAGCTATCGAATATGCTTACATTGATGGTAATTGACATTTATACCAAATATTTCATAAACATCCATCTGTGTCTTTTATCGCGAAATCTTTTCATTATGTATATATGAAGAGCTAATTTGTAGATAGTCAATTTTCTGGTGGAATTGTTTGAAATTAGATTTTTTTTATTCATGCAAAATTTATTTTTGTTTAATCACGAACTATTGTAAATAATCAAGAAATAGGCTGTTTCGTGCAGAACTTTTCAATAACTAAATGATTTTTTTTAACAAATTGACAAAATCACATACGCAGAAATAAATGTCAAATTACGTTCCGTGTGCAATTTGTAGTAATTAATTAATAATGTACAATAATAATAAAAAAAATGTACTAAAGTGTGTCTTCTTAATTTTTTTTTTTCACAAAACTTAAATTGCATTTACCTGTTCATACATTATTAAACTTTCATTTATTTCTGTACATAAAACAGTGAATTAATGTACGTATACAGTACAAATACTTTAACTCGTCCGTATTTTTCAAGAATTATAAGTAATAATGGTTTTTAATAAAATAAATCTCTCGCTGAACATATTGCTGTAGACGAAATGATTCAAGAGTTTAGATGTATGAATCGCATTTTCGATTTCAGATGTAAAATGTCACTGGTTGCTGTTTTTAGTTTTAACTCCGAGCCTCATCGTATTCAGTAGTAATTAGTTTTTTTAAATCACAAGCAGATATGGACGCTTCACACAATATTTTATGAAGTGGAGTACTAGTATGTTACAGTATTCGATAAACATAGTTAGTTGTTAAACGCTTGTAGTAAGTTAACTTATTGTTAATAGAACATAACGTGCTATGTTCAATTATACAATATCTACACATGGGTTTCTGCAACAGCATAAATGGGGATACAAACCTGTGAACTTCGACAATAGAACATTTATTTTGTTTAGAACAAAATTGACAATTTTAAAAATCATCGATGTTCTCCTGCGCCTGCGCATTGGTCGATAGAGTATCGATTATCGATACACCATTAAATTATCGATTTCTGGTATCGTATAAATCTCGATCTTGTTGTTGCTAGTGCATCGAGTTCGATTGTTGCGTCTTGGAGTTTAAGAACAATCATATAGCGCGCTGGCACCATGGCTGACGCAGCGGCTAGGCAGCTGCAATACGAGTACAAAGCGGTAATTACACGTTTATTAAATTAATTAGCATCTTTTACATGTTATCTGCCATTCCTCGTTTTTATTACAACTTTTGTTTAACCCGCAACTGCGGTATAACCGGAGTTTTACTCCCCGTCTAGGTTATGTTATTGTTGTTGTTTGTTGTTACGTTATTTTACGTTTTACCTGTTATCGTCTGTTTTGCGAGTACATTGTTTATTGTTATTATCAGTCGATTGTACGTGTGTTGTGTTTTTTCATTACAGAACTCGAATCTTGTCTTGCAAGCCGACGTTCGTTTGATTGAAAGACGGAGCAGAGATGAGGCGACAGGTGAAGTCATGTCCCTGGTGGGAAAACTCGACGGAACCAGGATGGGCGACAGAGCACAGAGGAGTAAACCCAGCAATGCCGAAGAGCGAAAAGTCAAGTGAGTGTGTGATCTTGATTATTTAATTTTCAGGTGCTTCGAAAGACGTTTTTTAATCGTATTTGTTTAATATTTAGTGTGTTTGACAGCTTCTATTTCTAAATTCGTAATCAGGAGGTGATTTTTTGATTATTGAAATAATTTTCAGGCGTCAAAAGCGTGATGAAGCTCAGTACGATTTTATGCACAGCAAGGGAGGTTCCGTACTTTCTGAAGGAATTGACGAATCAGTGGGTATTGTGTACAAACCCAAAACTCAAGAGACCCGACAAACATATGAGGTGTTGTTAAGTTTTATTCAAGAGGCTATTGGTGATCAGCCACGCGATATCTTATGTGGTGCAGCAGATGAAGTTTTAGCTGTACTGAAGAATGATAGGCTCAAGGAAAAGGAGAAGAAGAGAGAAACTGAAATGCTGTTGGGTGCTTTGGCTGAAGAAAGATTTGCTCTTTTGGTTAATTTGGGAAAAAAAATCACAGATTTTGGATGTGATGAAAAAAATGCTACCAATGAAGATAACATCGATGAAACATATGGGATCAATGTTCAATTTGGAGAAAGCAGTGGAGAGGATGATGATGAAGATCCATATGGGGAAGTTAAAGAGAATGATGAGTATGGTGACAAGGATGAAGAGGCAAATGATGATAGGGCTATTCATGCAGAGAATGTAAGTTTCTTAATTCTTGAATGGTCATGTAAATAAATTTTTCATGGCAATCTTTTTGATAGTTGATAACCATAATTTTTTGATTATTCATTTCAGTTAAGTAGAGCACAGGAAATGAAGCAAAAAGAAAGAATATTACATCCTCGAGATGTCGATGCATATTGGCTTCAGAGACAATTGAAAGCTATTTATGATGATGCAATAGTATCACAAAATAAGGCATCTGATGTTTTAGATGCGCTGAAAAATGCATCTGATGACAGGGACTGTGAAAATCAACTTGTAACTCTGTTGGGCTATGGTTGCTTTGACTTCTTAAAACAGCTTAAAAAATACAGATACACGAGTAAGTAAAATGATCCAATAGTGTACTTTTATAGATTGAAATTTCTTATTTCAACTGTTGTACATTGAAATAAATAAAATTTACTTAATTATTTTGTTTTTCAGTTGTCTATTGCACATTGTTAGCTTCTTCGCAGTCTGAGTCGGAACGTCAAAAAATCAGGAAAAAAATGAGCGAAGATCCAAATCTCGCGAAAATTCTTCATCAGCTGGAGACTGGTGAAGGTGAAAATGCTGAAGAACGAGAAGCCAGAGATAAGCGAACAAGAAAAGAAAATGAAGAATCTGGAGGACCAGGTGGGCAAATTCAAGGCACAAGAAACATGATTGATTTGGAAGATATTGCATTTGCCCAAGGCAGTCACTTTATGCCTAATAAAAGATGTATTTTACCTAAGGGTAGCTTTAGACAACAAAGAAAAGGGTGAGTTTTCCAATTTTCTAGCATTTATAACTATTAAATATTTTAGGCTTTTATAACGTAAATAAAAATCATTTTATGTGAAAAGAGAAAAAATATACTAATGTTTGATTGCACCTATTGAATTTCAGATATGAAGAGGTCCACGTCCCTGCATTGGAGCCAAAAGCATTTGCGGCTAACGAGCGTCTTATGCCAATCAGTGACCTGCCTAAATTTGCTCAGCCAGCATTCGAGGGGTTTAAAACGCTCAACAGAATACAGAGCAAGTTATATAAATCAGCCTTAGACAAAGACGATAACCTGTTGTTGTGTGCTCCTACTGGAGCAGGTAAAACGAATGTTGCATTGCTGTGCATGATGCGCGAAATTGGCAAACACATTAACTCTGATGGTACCATTAACGCTGGGGACTTTAAGATTATTTACGTCGCGCCAATGCGATCTCTTGTACAGGAGATGGTGGGCAATTTTGGTAAAAGGCTTGCTACCTATAACCTTACAGTCTCGGAGTTGACTGGAGATCATCAACTCACAAGAGAACAGATTGCCGATACACAGGTATTTGTTGCTCACTAATCATGTCATTTATTGTTTTTGTTAATGTTTGTGTAATGTAATGAAATACATATGTTCAACAGGTTATAGTTTGTACTCCTGAAAAATGGGACATCATTACACGTAAAGGAGGAGAAAAAACATTTACCTCTCTAGTGAGATTGATCATCATTGATGAAATTCATTTACTTCACGATGAAAGAGGCCCTGTGCTCGAGTCAATTGTTGCAAGAACGCTCAGAAACATAGAGACGACACAGGAAGATGTCAGGCTTGTGGGTCTTTCGGCCACTCTCCCGAATTACCAAGACGTCGCGACATTTTTGCGAGTCAATACAGAGAGCCTATATTATTTCGACAACAGCTTCAGACCTGTAGCACTTGAACAGCAATACATAGGCGTAACAGAAAAAAAAGCTCTCAAGCGCTTCCAAGTTATGAACGAAGTCGTGTACGAGAAGACAATGGAACATGCGGGTAAAAATCAAGTTCTGATATTCGTGCACTCGAGAAAAGAGACTGGTAAAACGGCACGTGCGATTCGTGACATGTGTCTCGAGAAGGATACACTTGGTCAGTTTCTTCGAGAAGGCTCGGCATCGATGGAAGTATTAAGGAGCGAAGCTGAACAAGTCAAAAATATGGAGCTCAAAGATTTACTGCCTTATGGTTTTGCTATCCATCATGCTGGAATGACAAGAGTCGATCGTACACTTGTAGAGGACTTATTCGCCGACAGACACATACAAGTGTTAGTTTCTACGGCTACGCTTGCTTGGGGTGTTAACTTACCCGCGCACACAGTTATCATCAAGGGAACTCAGATTTACAATCCTGAAAAAGGCAGATGGGTTGAACTGGGAGCTCTTGACGTATTACAAATGTTGGGTCGTGCTGGACGTCCTCAGTATGATACAAAGGGAGAAGGTAGCATTTCAATCCAATATTATCTTGAATCATAACTCTTTTTATGAAAAATACTTTACGGTAACATTCTTTTGTTTCAGGTATACTTTTAACGAACCACAGCGAATTACAATACTACCTGTCACTTCTGAACCATCAACTTCCAATCGAATCACAGTTGGTAAGCAAATTACCCGACATGCTGAACGCCGAGATAATCCTCGGCACCATACAAAATGTCCGCGACGCTGTCACCTGGCTTGGTTATACCTATCTCTACGTCCGAATGTTACGCTGCCCCACTCTTTACGGAATCGGGCACGACGTACTCCGCGAAGATCCGCTTCTAGAGCTGCATCGCGCTGATCTCGTACACTCAGCAGCTTTAGCTCTGGATCGTGCTGGCTTGATAAAATACGACCGCAAATCTGGTAATTTCCAATCCACAGAGCTGGGTAGAATTGCCTCGCACTACTACTGTACGCACGAGACAATGGCTGTTTATAATCAGCTTCTGAAGAGAACTCTCAGCGAGATAGAGCTGTTCCGTGTGTTTTCGCTCTCAAGCGAGTTTAAGAATATCAATGTCAGAGATGAGGAAAAACTTGAGCTAAACAAACTCATGGAACGTGTGCCTATACCTATCAAAGAAAGCATGGAAGAGGCGAGTGCGAAAGTCAACGTTTTACTGCAGGCTTACATATCTCAGGTAAATTGTACAATATATTGATCTGAGTGGTTAATCAATCAAAGTCAATGCTTAACTAGTAAAAAAATTTTTGTTATTAAATTTTAGCTTAAACTTGAAGGTTTTGCCCTAATGTCGGATATGGTTTATGTCACCCAATCGGCTTCTCGATTGATGCGTGCAATCTATGAGGTTGTACTTTTCCGCGGCTGGGCTCAACTTGCCGACAAATGCCTGGCGCTTTGCAAAATGATAGACCGACGAATGTGGCAATCGATGTCACCACTGCGGCAATTCCGCAAAATGCCCGAGGAAATCGTCAAAAAGATTGAGAAAAAAAACTTCCCGTGGGAGCGGCTTTACGATCTTCAGCCCAATGAAATTGGTGAACTTATACGCGTACCTAAGCTGGGAAAAACCATTCACAAATACATTCATCAATTCCCCAAGCTCGATCTATCGACCCACATTCAGCCTATCACGCGTTCCACTCTTAGAGTTGAACTCACGATTACTCCAGACTTTATATGGGATGAAAAAGTGCATGGTGCTTCTGAGGCTTTTTGGATTCTCGTCGAAGACGTCGATTCTGAAGTTATTTTACATCACGAGTTCTTTTTATTGAAGGTAAGATAGATGTATTCTTTCAATTGAAATATGTTTATTACATGATGTATGAATTTCAAAGAAGATTGTCAATTTGCACAAAATTTTTAACCATATTAAATTTTCTTCTTATCTAGGCCAAGTATGCATCTGACGAGCACCTCATCAAGTTTTATGTACCAGTATTTGAACCTCTGCCGCCTCAGTACTTTTTACGTGTAGTATCGGATAGATGGATCGGAGCAGAGACTCAAATGCCTGTCAGCTTTAGGCATTTGATTTTACCAGAAAAGAATCTACCTCCAACAGAATTACTCGATCTGCAACCACTACCGATCAGTGCTCTTCGTAATTCAGTATTTGAGAATTTATACATTGACAAGTTCCCACAATTTAATCCTATTCAAACACAGGTATGAAAACTGCTCCTAAAAATTTACAGTCCTATTGCCTTTTGGTGAAAACCATGGTTTGTGATTAAAATATTATAAAATTTTTCTGTAGGTGTTTAATGCCGTGTACAATTCAGATGACAACGTTTTCATCGGAGCACCTAGTGGCTCAGGCAAAACAACTATTGCCGAGTTTGCAATACTGCGTTTAATATCCCAAAATATGGAGGGCCGCTGTGTTTACGTGGTGGGAAAAGAGCCTCTTGCTGAGGTAATCTACAATGACTGGGCTCTCAAATTTGGCAAAATTCTTGGCAGGAAAGTTGTTTTGCTAACTGGTGAGACCGGTACAGATCTCAAACTCCTTGCCAAGGGCGAAATTATCGTTGCTACTGCGGACAAGTGGGATGTATTATCGCGTCGTTGGAAACAGCGGAAGAATGTGCAAAACATTCAGCTTTTCATAGTAGATGAGCTTCAACTAATTGGAGGCGATGAGGGCCCAGTACTGGAAGTCGCCTGCTCCAGAACAAGGTAATTTTTTATTAATTAAGTTCTAGTTCGTATATTTTAAACATGTCATGATGTATTTGTGATTATTTTTTAGATACATTTCCTCCCAGTTGGATAGTCCAACGAGAATTGTAGCGTTATCATCATCTTTGGCTGATGCCAGAGACGTAGCTGGATGGTTGGGTGCGTCAGCAGCGTGCACATTTAACTTCCATCCATCTGTGCGCCCAGTACCGCTTGAACTCCACGTTCAGGGTATCAATATAACCCACAACGCATCGCGACTTGCTGCCATGGCCAAGCCCGCATACAACGCCATTATTCGTCACTCGCTTCGCAAACCCGTTATTGTCTTTGTCCCTACACGCAAACAAGCCCGATTAACAGCTTTCGATATATTGACTTTCACTGCAGCTGAAGGCAAGCCCACCCAGTTCTTCCACGCTGCAGATGAAGCCGATATAAAAGTTTTCTTGGATAAGATGCAAGATAATACGCTGCGAGATACACTGACACAAGGCGTTGCTTACTTGCACGAGGGCTTGTCGACCAGCGATCGCAGAATCGTCGAGCAGCTCTTTGACAGTGGTGCGATTCAAGTTGTCGTTTGTACTCGAGATCTGTGCTGGAGCTTGTCAATCGCTTCGTACCTCGTTGTCATAATGGACACCCAGTCCTTCAATGGAAAGACTCACGCCTACGAGGATTATCCTATCACTGATGTTTTACAGATGGTGTCGCGTGCAAATCGTCCAACAGAGGATGATGATGCCAAATGTGTTATGTTATGCCAGAGCTCCAAAAAGGATTTTTTCAAAAAGTTCCTGAACGAGCCGTTGCCGGCTGAAAGTCATCTGGACCACAGACTACACGACCACTTCAATGCTGAGATCGTTACCAAAACCATTGAGAACAAACAAGATGCGGTTGACTATCTTACATGGACATTCCTGTATAAGAGATTGACTCAGAACCCAAATTATTACGGTTTACAAGGAGTGACGCACAGACATCTTTCGGATCATTTGTCCGAGCTCGTTGAGAACACACTGAGCGATCTCGAGCAAGCCAAGTGCGTCACTGTCGAGGATGAGATGGACGTGGGGGCACTCAATTTGGGCATGATCGCGGCTTACTACTACATCAACTACGCAACTGTGGAGGTATTCAGCGGTTCGCTCAAAGCATCTACAAAGATTCGCGGTCTGCTGGAAATCATTTCACACGCGGCCGAGTACTCGTGTATTCCTGTGCGACAACGCGAGGAAGATTTACTGAGAAGCTTGGCAGCTAGGTTACCACATGCCCCGCAAGGCAAAAGGATGGCCGATCCGTGTGTTAAGGCGCAATTGTTGCTGCAGGCTCATTTGTCGAGGATACAACTAGGACCCGAATTGCAAAAGGATACGGAACTTGTGCTCAGTAAATCCATCAGATTGATTCAAGCTTGCGTTGATGTACTCAGCTCATCAGGTAAACAGTCGACTTATTCGTTTGAAACTATCAAGATGATCCGCTCAATGATAACTATATAAAAAACTTTTTGATTTATTTTATAGGTTGGTTAACACCGGCAGTGGCAGCTATGGAGTTGGCTCAAATGGTCACCCAAGCCATGTGGTCTAAAGAATCTTATTTGAAACAGCTACCACATTTCACGTCGGAAATTATTAAACGCTGCACTGACAAGCGTGTAGAGACAGTCTTTGACATTATGGAGCTCGAAGATGATGTGCGTAATAGACTGTTGCAGCTAAGTGAACAGCAAATGGCTGACGTGGCTAAATTTTGCAATCGCTACCCCAACATCGAGATGTCCTTTGAAGTTGATAACAAGGACAACATTAGACACGGTGAAACCGTCATAGTCGTGGTTCAGCTTGAACGAGAGGACGAGGTAGCAGGTCCCGTTGTCGCACCTCTGTTTCCTCAAAAAAGGGAGGAGGGTTGGTGGGTCGTTATTGGTGATGCCAAGGCTAATCAGCTGCTATCGATCAAGAGGCTAACACTGCAGCAAAAGGCCACCGTTAAATTAGACTTTTTGGCACCACCTCCCGGACGATACATGTACAAGTTGTACTTTATGAGCGATGCTTACTTGGGATGTGACCAGGAATACGAATTAGTTATTAATGTCGGAGAGTACGACTCAGGTGATAGCTCTGGTTCTGAGTCGGATTAAGGAACTAAAATAATGTATAATAGATTGTATATATAACTTTTGGCATCTTACATGAAATGATTTTTTAAGAATGTCTGATTAAGTAAAAATTTAATAAATTAAATATAGGAATAATGTTTTTTTTTTTTAATTAATAAAACTGGAAGTAACATTCACTACCCTTGATAAAACACGAAAAAGTTTTTAATAAATATTAACATATAATTCTCAAATAAATAAATAATTAGTTCATGAACCTTTTAACTTTTATATACTCAAAAGCGCTGGGAATTTTTCAAAATAAGATTCAAAAAATTTTATCATAGTGTTTATTAAAGGACTTAGTATAAGTAGTACAATTGAATACTTACAAAGGTGGATTGATATAAAATTAAACTTAGTAGCAAGTTTCTTCTCAAAAATAATGATTTTAGATTAGTTTCTAACATATATAACAGCTGTTTTACTGTCATTAAAAAATCATATAAAAAGTTAGTAGCGTATACATTGTTAAAAGAATTATTTTGTCATATTTCTATCTTATAGTTAAAACAAACATCAAAAAGTTACTCATATATTTTATGAACATTGACTCTTATGTTGGTTGTCCATTGCAACAAAAGCCTCTTAGATCCTAGATTATATTGAACTGAATTTCTCAATTAACATTTTTTATAATTCCTAAAATATTTCCTTTTTATTAAAAAAAAAAAAACAAATACTTACTTATTTCGTACAGATTTATTATTCCAACATTAATTCAATGCTTCATATTAAATAAACAATAAATAAGAATAATTATCAAGGGTTAAACTAAAGATGGCCTAGGCGACCTGGTTATAGTATAATATTACCAATATTTTTTCTAATTGGTTACAATAATGTCAGGCTATTTTGATTTGTGAAAAATCTTAACATTAGACTCCAAATAAAAATACAAAAGAATACAAAGATGGGTAAATCTTATTACTGAAGTGAGAACTCTAATTTAAGAAATGGATTGTCATTATTTTTATAAAATTCGACTTGATGTTGATAAAAGTTATCTTTAAAATACGCGGCGTTAAATCAAATAGCTGAAAAGTAAATATGAAAGTGCCTTGGCACTTTTTCGTCCACTTTAACTTTACATTAGAATTGGAAATCAGAAATCATCACTTGGAAAATGGGACGAAAGGATGGAAGAAAGGACACTTCATTTTCAAACAACGTGGATGGTATTTGCATTGAATTGGATAAGTGTGAGAAAATATACATGCCTGTTTTGTGCACGACTTTCCGAATTTGCAACTTGGATGTTTGTAAGAGCACTTATTACCTAAAGCACAATGTGGCCAATACTTACAACTTTCACGTTTAGGAGTCTTTTTATTGGTAGATTCTGCTTTAATCATCTGTAGTTTCTGTATCAAATCATCAATTTCACGTTGCAGTGAGATTAAAGCAGAATTATTTGATTCAGAAGTAGTAAATTCTTTAGATTTAATTTCTCTCAAAGTAGCTTTCGATAAACCAGAACATGATTCCTCTGCAAAATACATTTTTTTGTAAAGAAAAAAATTAAAAATTGATCCTGTATGTCAGTAAATAAGTGAAAGTAAATCAAGTTTACTATCATTCAAATGACTTACGATTTTCAAGTGTCACTTTGCTTTCATGATGTCTTACATCACCTGAAAATGTAGCACTTGATTCTTGAGGTTCTTTTTTCAATATAGGTACTTCTTCTTCAAAATCAGTTAGTGATTCATCATCTGAACTCTCATTTTTTTCAAGGGTGCTTTCGATTGTATTGGCTTTAATATTTCCATTGCTACTTGGTATATTTTTCATTTTACTAAATGTATCACGTAAGTTTTCATATGTGGGATCTTGTCCTGTATTAACAAGCCATGTAATTTGTTTTTCGTTCATGAAAACTTTGGAGGAATTTTCGTTTTTTGTTGGTGTTATATCGTTTTTTTCCAACTCATTCTTTTCCATTAACATGTTGTTCAATAAAACTTGTTTTTCGTGATTTAATTTTTCTAATTTCTTGTAACATTTTTCAAGCTCCACTGCAGAATTTGAAGCAACTTTGTTCAATTTTGGTTTGTTTTTTACACTTTTTGCTGTCAATGCCAAGTCTAACGTGTTTAGAGTTTTATCGAACACAGTTGGCGATATTGTAAAAATCATCGCTGTGTGTACATTACCTCCCAACGAAGCCTTGAACAACCTCGTTAATTTACTACCTCCAAAATTGACATACTTAACGTTGTTGCCTGAAAATTCACTGAGTTGTTTGATTACAAGTTCAAAAGTTGGTATTGAAAAGTCTTGTTTCCCTCCGGGATCTGCAAGATCTACCAAATTCAACTGGGATATTTGAAATTCGGGATCATTGCTTTGTTTCCAACTCTTTATAGTTACCCTTAAATGTGTAAAATTAAACAATTGTTAGTAGTGGAAGTGCATGCAGATGACAAAATTGGGACATACAAAAACACAGTGTGTAAAAGTTACCTGAATATTACATGACTGCCATTATTACTCCTGTGACTCATGCTGGTTTTGGTGACTTTGCGGTTCTCGTTTGCGGTTTTAATAGTGTCAATAACAAGTTCTGGACTCGTGACAATCTTCTCCGTGAGGGCGCACACTTGCACCAGATCATGATGATTATCCCGGAGTTCGAGGTTCACCCTTTTGGCATCGAGCAGATCGTTGATCTTCTCGTTGTAGATCTCAAAGTAAGAAACATGGAAAATGTATTCCCTGTCACTGTACTCGCTGGAGACGTCGAACAATCGCTCAACAGCCATCGAAATCATTCCAGGTTCGTCTAGGGTGCCCAGCATTGTGTGTGTTTTTCCCGAACTGGCCTGTCCGTACGCAAAAACAGTGCCATGGAAGCCCTTGACCGTGGCGTCGACGACTGGCCGGACGACGCTTTGGAAGACGTCGACGTTCTTCTCTCGTGGGTCAAACACATGATCTGCGAGATAAAGTGTTAAGAATTCAATGAGACTTTATTAAAATAAAAATTATTTTACGGTTAGTAGTTCTCGTATACTCACCAAATTGAAAACTGTAGTTTTTGCGCTTCTTGCTGTTGATGATTTTGTCCACGAGCGTCCACTGGCTCTTCTGATTCTTTTTTAGCTCGCGCTCCATAAGCGGGCGCACCCTGATCGCCACCTGGACATTGGTCGGCACTTCCGAAGAGCTCATCGTGTACGCACTCAATAACTTTTGTGATACAAAAATATGCAGTCGAAAAAAATACGATGGAGATGGTCGTTTTTACTTGATCGACGGTGCAAGGGGAACCCCCGTGCCGCACGCTCGAGACTGGACTGCATACATGGAGATACCTACTGCGGATTTGCGGAATCTTATCTACGAAAATTCAATGTATAAATTCAAGTATAAACACTTACGTACATGAGGAAATCCACAAAAAATATCCCGTTTTTGTCCCCCACTTTAATAAAACAACATTTTTTGAGGCGTAAATTTTTTCCTCGTAGTATATGGCATTAGGAGTAAAATGAGCCCTATCGCGAAGGTGTGTCTCAAGGTGTGAAAAAAAAAGAATTTTTTTTATTCAAATGGGGGAAAAAAACGAGATTTTTTTTTGTGGACTTCATCGTATAAAAGGGGATAAAGTAATGAAAGATCTACTGTCAATGATTCAGCATATTATGTTTCTTTCTCTCGAGATTGAAATTTGACACTTTTAGAAGTTTGCAAACTCATGAGTATACTGAATAGTGTATTGGGATTCCAAAAGGTCAAGTGACTCTCGCGATATATATAGTCACTTGGGGGAAAAATAACACAGGCCTTGTAGGTGCAATTATATTTTTATTTTTTTTACACGTTCAACGATTGTAGAACGATAAAAGCCTTTCAATAACATAATTTTGAGGAGATGACAATACCTTAACTATTTTTTTCCAACTCAATTAGTCTTTTGCAGCTTAAAACTTTCCTTTGAAAGTGCGAAAACGCACATTTAACCTTATCAAAATCCTGCTTGTTTTCCTATATATAGTCGGGAACGGGAGAACTTTGTACAGGTTAAATGTTCGTTTTCGCACTTTCAAAGGAAAGTTTTAAGCTGCAAAAGACTAATTGAGTTGGAAAAAAATAGTTAAGGTATTGTCATCTCCTCAAAATTATGTTATTGAAAGGCTTTTATCGTACTACAATCGTTGAACGTGTAAAAAAATTAAAAATATAATTGCACCTACAAGGCCTGTGTTATTTTTCCCCCAAGTGACTATATATATCGCGAGAGTCACGTGACCTTTTGGAATCCCAATACTGACTAAGTATAAGTACACAGTACTCGCAGTAGGTGGCGGCGTAAGTATATATATAAAAAAATGGATATGTTTTATACAACCTAAGTATACATAGATTTTTGTTTGTTTGAAACAAATCACCGGTGAACGTGAGACAAAGGAAGCGCGCAGGGGCTGCAGGCAAGTGTCTACACACGTTTTCATTTGCGTTTGTCCCTTCAAAGAGTAAGCACGCAATTTTTATTTGGCCACCCATCACGTCTGTTAAACGTAAGTTTGCAACTGTTTTTTTTTTATTTTTTAATCAACTAAAAGTTATAGTACAATATTTTTAGAGTTGATTTTATTATATTGTATTGCATCAATTTTTGAGTGTGAACGTATAGAAAAAAAAAGTTAGTTTTCGTGAATTTAATTGTTAAAATGCAAGTGCGAGGATAGTATTTTTTTTGTAAAATTGTAAGCATATTTGTTCTTGTTTTATTTAGATTTTCTGGTTTTTTTGTTTTTTTATTTTTAACATTTTTTTTTACACCCAACCGTGAACAATGTACCGCGTGCCCGTGAAAAAGGAAAAAAATTTGACATGCTTGTGTGGTCGGCAATTGCACTGTTCCGATACTAGTTGAGATGCTTAGTTAATTTTTTAACAGCGCGAAGTGAAACGGGCAAAGCTTCGCCAGGGAGCCATTTATTTTTTTATAATTTATGTGTGCCTTACAATAAACGTGTGCTTCAAAGCAAACAACTTTGTATGGTAAATCGCATATTGACCTCACTTTGAAATAAGTATAAGGTTCTTTTGGTGTGCATTCCGAATAGCCCCTTTGTTTAATTTTACGTGACATTTCGCGATTTTACAGCGCGCATTGAAAGAAACCGCTACGGCCAAAATGGCGTCTATCGAGAAGAAAAAAGAGAATTCAAATGGTGTCGCTAATGGCAATGGTTTGGCGAAAAAACTCGAGTGTCCCTTCAATTGGAAGATGGATGTTTTATCGAGCGCCGATTTCACGGACTACACGCCGCACGACGAGGAAGAACTCGTTATTTTGCTTAAACTGATGCGCGTCATTATGACCGTTTACGTTCTAACAAAAGAAAATGAAAACGAGAACAAAATCATGGAGGATCTGAACACATGCGACGAGATTATGGCCCAACTGCGCAAGGAGTGAGTAATAAAAAAAAGTCAATTTTTATACGCACATCGCACATCCTTTGCTGTATTTTTTTTTATTGCACTAATTTTTTTTTGGAATGTTAAATTTCAAGTTATTTTTGAATTTTGAGTTTCTCCTATGACCAAACACAAAACGATCAATTTGTTGTCCAAGCTCTTACATATAATCCATAATATTTATTAACAAATAGTTGTAATGTGAAAGCTCGACATCATGATTTGCCTCTAATGTATAGTGCACTACTTTTTGTAGATCAAAAAATATAATAGCAGTGATTTGTCGATAACGATACAAAACAGTCCCTATATTATAACTTGAAAAACAGAAGAAGAAACAACTTTTTGTCCACAGAAACGATCCTCAATTCTCGATCGAGGCCATTCAGCACGTCCTGGACGCAACGCGCTATCACGTTTTGAAAAAATTCAAGCATACCGATGAGGTCGACGAGCTTCTCGGGAAAATCGAGAGCGCCGACGACCTGAACACCAAGCTGGACAGGAGCACGTTTTACGGGTGCCGCAGCATGGGCTGGTCAAAGTACCACAGGCTGGGGAGCGAGGAGGCGATAAGCTTCATTCGCAAAGCCATGGAAACCAACGAAGATTGCGATCTTTACAACTTCATATTGGCCAAAAATCTGCGCCGCATCAGGCGCGACAATTCGCCCGGTTCCTTGCCAGGGGATGAGGAAAAAGATGCATTTTTGAAAGCCTACAACAAATCCAAGAGCTGCGTCTATGGGATCTTCGTGGCGCAGATGTATCGCGAGCTGAGGGCAGAATCGAAGGCTGTGGATATGTACCTCAAAATTTACGAGTCCAAGCCGAACATCAACACGATTTATTTGAGACTCGCGCTTGGGTTTATACAGCTGTACAAGTTGCCGTTGGCTAAACAGTGCTTGGACTTGGTCGTACCGGCTCATCAGAACAGCATGTACCATCACTATTTGGGAAAGTACTACGTAAAAGTTAAAAATTTTCAGGTATGATTTATTCGTTTAGTACCATTTTCCTACTGAGGATTTTGAATTTTTTTCTTTTTTTTTCAGACTGGAGCTTACCACTTGAAAATAGCTGCCCTAGACGATAATTATCCAGCATCGAGAGACTACATTCGTTGCATGTTGAGACAAAACAGAAACTACGATGCAACAACTTACTTGTTGGACTTGCTGCTGAAGGAAAATTTTAAGAATAATCAAAATTTGTTTATTGATCTCGGATTTACCTATCTGAAAAAGAGAGATTTCGAGAAATCTATTAAGTATTTTCATTTAGCTATCAAAGTGGATCCTAATAATCAGTATCTCCGAGTAAGTTTTTTTGTTGATCTTATCTATCTGGATGTATTTTATCTGTGCAATTATTTCTTAAAACTTTTTTCAGGAATATTACTCTTTTTATAATCCTGGGAGGAGCGACAACGTGTACAACGTGATTTCAAGTGAAATTTTCTCACGAAAAAATACTCTGCGTGGCGAGGCAGCAAAAGCCGTCCAAGAGTTGGAAAACTATTACAAAGATTACATGAAAAGCCAAACTGATTTTATGGAGAATAGCTTAAAAAAAGTTTTCATGTAACAGTTTCGTAAAGAGTATTTGCTTTATTTGATTTTATATCTATAATTCATAAGTTTTTGTTTTTCATGTATTATTTTACAATTATGATAATGATGTTGAAAAAAAAAAGTTGCATGTATCTTTCAAACACAAGAAAAGAAAATTTTTATCTGTAACTTTATAATACGTATCTGTATCTTAAATAAGTTATATGTTCATGTAGCCTACAGGCTTGGATTGTATTATTAAAAAAATATAAATGAATGCTAACCTTAAAAATGTAAAAAAAAGTGCTGAACTTGACTTTTTTCCATTTATAAAAGCCGTTCGATAGCCAAAGACCCAGTTTTTTTTGTCACAATGAATATATATATGTATATATTTAGATAATCTTTGAAACGAAATATCAATACAGAAGAGTCAAAGAACATTCCTCCCCCCCCCCCCAACACCACCATGCAAATACGGGTAATTGATAAAAATAAGCCGTTATACAAGCTTCTGTTAAACATTGATTCTTATTTACGTAGGTAAGACGAATCTGGTGATCGATTTCTTGAGTGATTCCGGGTATTCGCGGATTACGCTGTACACGCAGGAAACGATGACGTATAAATCGTACACGAAAGGGGTATCAATGAATGACACCCCGGGACCATTGTCTATTTCTATTTCTTCTTTTACCTGACCCTCTCTCGCGGCGATCCGAGTCAAAAACTAGGAAGAAGAAGAGAAATACACTAAGTCAGAGCCCAGCGCGGTACTTGTAACAAAAGATCGGCGAGTACACGATATTTGAGGGGGGGGGACGCGCCGCATCCGGTCAGCAGAGTTTTGCCTCGTCTTCCTGTTGCGAAAACTTTAACAAGTATATATTTATACTTAGGTACAGACCTACTACCAAGCGAGTCCTGAATGCACGAACAAAACAGTTTCACAATCGAAAACTTGTGTGGTGTATACAGGCACACGAGGTCGGAACAACAAGGGCTCTACATGCGCTGGCCCGTGGATATCGAGGACCCGATCAGGAGCGGAGAGTACAATACGTATAGGCTCTTTGAGCGGCTATCATTTCGGTACGGGCAAGCATACTGCGGTGTGCCGGCCTACGATCTCCGCTTACTCAACTTTTTCGGAGATCGGCACCAGATTTTAATAATTAATGCATCTGGAGGTATATACGTGCGGTGTATACGTGTACGCGGGTGCGGGTGTTATGTATTCTTCGTATGGAATAATCACGTAATTGTTACGCGCGTGGGTGCTCATTTTTTGGGCCTAGCTCCATTGAAGGTTTTTTTATTTATTATTATTATTATTTTTTTTTTTTCTTGAGATCGGTAATATTTCTAGAGCCTGTCTGAGGATAACAGTAAGCGTTTGACAATATGAACTTGTCAGTACAACCGATTACGTGGAGAGTGTATTACTCCGATGAAAATATTGATGTTTTTCGAAAGTTGTGTCGTTCAGTGATTCATTCTATTGTTTATCGAACTAAAATACACTCGTAACTGTTACGTTTCGTCATTGTTTTCGTACGTACGGCTTTAACAAAATTGATTGTATTCAATTTGTTTGTTTTTATGGTGTAAAATTGTTTCGTAATAAAATTAATCTCTCTTTTTTTCATATTTGTCGAAGTTACTCGCGAGAAACTACAAAATATACATGACATAAATCACACTCGTAAATCGTTGATCATTTTCATCAACAAGGAAATTCTTGAATCATTTTTGATGATGATGTATTATTATAAATTAAGTAATTATACGTCGTGAGCCGTAGTTAATTATACATGCAACCTCTTTATGAATAATCGTAAACAAGTTTTACAGTTTGCCGTCACTTCGCAACTTGGTAACGTATTATTACACACATAAAGTGTCATATGCGTAATATGATAATACGTCGAAGTTATTAACAATAAAAATAAACGTTGAGCGAATGGTGCGAGAGAAAAAACGTCCACGCTTTAGCAAAATTATCTCATAAAACGTGAACGAACGTAGAGTTGTATAATCGTCAAGAAATATATCAAGACACGTAATTATTATTAATTTTTCACACTTTATACCTTTTTTACGTCATTATTCTCTCTCCATCAATCTCAATCCTTCCAAAAAACATCACCAGCTTCGAGAGGGTATATACTTACGTGCATGTACCTGCTCACTTCGTCGCGTGTGCGTTTGACAAATAACAAGCGACAAGTAAAATGTATACCCTATGTAACGTAAGCATAGTAGCCAAACTGCATTTCTCCTCTTACCGAAAGTGAATGTGGTGTTCGTCTATGGTCCTCTTTTCAGGCCCAATATACCAGTATACGTATAGTTCATGCGCACCTAATCGATCGGTGGTACGCGAATACAATTTATACAATGTTAACGCTGTTAACACTGTTACCAATGCACAAACATAATTGAACGCTCACGAAATAATTTATAAATATACATATATCGGTAAGTATATAAACAACAGTCAACAAACCCGACCGCAGCTCGTGCCGTACGAGAAAAAGCTCCCCTTACCGATAATGGACAGTTATTAGAAATGGCGTTAAAGAAATGTGTTCACCCAAGCGCTCGATATCATAGGCGACATTGTGCATGAGATCGGTATGGCACACGATCGGTATATGTGCGATCGTAACACGTGGCGTAGATACATATATATAGGGTAGGGCATGTATAATATACATATAGTATCGGTGCGTATAATATGTTGGGCTTTCGAACTAAAATTCATATATAGGCTCCTTTCACGCGCGTTTCGCGAGACACATTGATAGTAAGTATCACACGAGCGGGTGTCTTTGCGAGCCGAGAGGAAACCGCGTGCCGTGTGTATTTGAGTGCATGTGTATATCTAATGTATGAATTTTTAAGCCACGACCCGACCTTCGAATCTTTCGAGAGAAACGATGACGATGATGATGATGTTGACGGGTGTCAAGGAGGCCTTTGTTTTGCTCGTCTCTGTGCTCATCTGTGGTTTGTTTTACAAGTATGGTGCGCTGCTTTTGCGCTTCACTGCAGGGCTGATTTATGGACCGCTGCTCCTTGAACCTTCCCCCCTATACCCTCCTTTTTTTTTTTTCCATCACGACGGAATGAAATTTATACAATACTTTGCGGCTCGAAGGGAATTTTTGACTCCTTGACTTACATATTTTTCCACATGCTTTTTTCTTAAAATGTTTTTTTTTTTTCTTTTTTTTTTCTTTTGACGCGCAGCAGGAGAATTAAAAATACATGCGAACACATTCAGTACGATTAAGTATCCCCCGTAGTCAATTCGATCGGCGATTGTAGGATTTGTGTGTGTGTAATGTACAGAAATGGAGTGAAATTGTGATACGGTATCGGCACGAGTGTAGCAAATGGATGAAAGTTGGCAGATTGATTTTTAAAAGCAAAGGAGCGCAGTAGAAAGCCGCGGTACCGGTTGAATTTTTCAAAATCGAATGCTCGCACTTTGCATCCGCGAAGGAGCGAAGGATCGGCCGGGGAAGAGGGAGCGAAGAACCGATCTTCATCCCTGATTGATCCCACCCGCGGCGATAAGCCTACGATAAACCGATGACTCGGTTGTTATATATATGTATACAATGTATCTCGCAAAGCTCCCTTTCCATTTCTTGTTTTTTTTTCTTCATACTGTAGGCAGGAGGGGGAGGGAGAGAGAGTGCACATCTCTGTCACCTTCGTCGATAGTCGATATTGCATCCTCCCGCGCTGCTACAGAACTAGCTCCTCGTTGTCCTTCTTCACTTTCACTTTGGCTCATCTCTCTCGCGAAGGCTCGGGGGAGCGAGTGTAGGTATTACATTTTCTACATGCACATATACTTACGGCAGAGATCAGTCGCTCGCTCGCTCGTTTGATACTCGCTTATATACTTACTTGTGCCCGGGGATGTAGGAGTCCTGCTTGCGCGTAGTTAGTTGCGTGTCGGCTGCCGTGACGCGTGGATCGGTTTCGCCGTTCACTCATAATTCAAGTGTGTCTTGTAATCTCACTTTTACCCGTTCCTTTTTTTCATTATTTTTATCTCGCTTCCAATTATATAAACAACGCATCCTTTACTAATTTCACCAGTTCTTATTAATATGAGATATTATACAGTTTTATTTCCGTTGCCGATTTTCACGCTTTTTTTCTTACCTCACATGATTTTGGATGAAAATTGTTCCGTTGAGTAGAACTGGTGAAATTGCCGATTTTGTGATTTATCGGTACTACACTGTCATGTTATTTTTTTTAAAATTAAAATATTGCCAATTTTGAACTACACTCTATGATCGGTAGTGATTTTGGTGTCATTGATCGATTATCTTGTACCTTTTTTTTTTGTTTACTTATCAAAGAGAAGATCAAAAAGAAGAGGATCCAGAGATGAGGGGGACACTCGTTTGGATGGTGTGCGCGACGCTTGCCGCTGCTCAGACCCAGGAAGCTTTTGTAAGTGGTTAATCTTCTTATCGATTTGTACACTATGTTGCTGATGTGGAAAAAAGAAAGCAGTTACTTTCAATCATGTTAATGGGAAGAAAGTGAAAAAGTATAGGAGTTTGCAAAGTGACGTAAGAAAGGCAACGTGTTTTACGCGGCTTTAAAGTAAAAGGATATTTGGGATCATCGTCGTCGCATACAGTCACGCGATGAGCTTATAAATATGAATGAATCGATTACAAAGATGTATACCTCATGATGTTTGCATAAGTCCTTACGGTTTTGTTTCTCCGTTCTTTATTTAGGTACTTGAGGAAATACAAAGATAATTCGTGTTCCATAAAAGCGTATATTTTATCATTTTTACCCTGTTAACGATGAAAGTGAGTTTCAATAATCGCCGGACCGATGATTTCTCTAAATAATGCTCTTCGATATTTTTCGCATTAAATTATAGATCTGATAAATCAACGGGCAATTGTAGCGTTGCCTAATTAAACGAAATCAAATGGAAGGTTTTTTGTGTAAATCTCGCGCTCGATTTTATAACGACGGTTGAGCCCATAATCGTGTACCTCGTGCAACCATAAGCCGGTGATAAATTCATCAAAAGTTGAACAGTAATTTTCATCGTTCATTAATCCACATGTATTTCGAGCAAAATTTTTTTCGGCAGATCACATAATTTATCCTCATAATTTGGGTACTTTGGTTTAATCGCCACATACATGTTACGCAGTGACGTAAGAGAAAAAGCATAACACTCGCGCCGACGTAATAAATAATTGTGTGCGCGTATACCCCATTTTTACAATCCTCTTTGTCGCGGATACACATACTACCTATTACCCGAACAGACAATACAGATAAAAGAACAGAGAATAAATCGGTTCAGTGGGCAAATTAAATTCCCCGTCGTAAAAGAAGCCACAACAATCTTCCCTCTCGATCGGATCATTCAACTTCTTAGGAAATATGCAAATTTGTTATTCCATCGTGTTCACGTGTACGTACACATTATACAAAATACACGTAAGTACCTATATGTATACATACACTCCAGTGAGTCAAGTAGATATATTCACAGGATGCGCGTTTTACTCTCGCAACGTGTACACGTATATATAGGCATGCCTTTCTGCGCCACTTTTATGTACACCTATAGTATATAAGATCGCGCATCTTCTCGAGAATAATAGCGATCCTTATTACATAAATCTGTGTAACAGCAGACGTGCTCGCGGGAGTTTTTTTTTTTTTTTTTTGTTGCTCTATATATTACGTTGTAAAGAGAGGAGATTATGTATTGTATACCTACTGTCGTGTATCCATGTACAAATTTGTGGATGTATTCGAACGAAGTGATGAGTCATTTTTGCGGAAATGTTTCGACACCAACGTTTTTCAATGGTGTGACGATGGTCATGGAAAATTTATTTTCACAAAGCACCAAAAACAAATAATAATCATGAAAAAAAAAAAAAAAAAAAAAAAAAATCGGTAACAATACAAGAGTCGCGCTAATTAGTCTTGGACGAGACCAGGAAGTTAGAGCCTAACGTTGTCAGCCGGAGTAAAGTAAAGCTCAATTTCAACTATTAACTCGATCGCGAAAATAATGTAATTTATTGTTTACCCACCGATACCGATTTACGTACAATACGATACACTGTATCTTTGATTTGCACGCAAATTAAAATTTATTTTCATTCACTTATCGCATTTGAAATCTAAATGTCATAATTAATCAGACAAACTTTATTATACTCTAAGGAAACCGATCATTCCAAGTATACCTACCTATTTTTCGCGACTGCGGCAAATCAATATAAGTTGGGGAAATCGGTGTATCTCATAATCTATAAATAATCGTACATGTATTTAAAATAACTTTGAGAAACTTGCAACAGAATTAAATTAATGCGCGGCAGATTTATAAATCAGAGCGTAAATGATTAAATTTATTGCTACCCTGTAAATCGGTCATTTACATTATCTTGGCGAGAGATAAAATTACTTTGCTACATAATAGCACAAGCTCCTCCATCTCTTTCAATTGGGTAGGGAAAGAGATCTTGAACGAAAGTAACAAAGCGATAGACTTCTCTGCTATGAATATAGGCTTGATCAGGTGAAGCAATAGCGCATTCTTTGGGATGCATGTGCGATGATGCAACTCAACGGAGTTCCGGTTTTTAATAAGCACCCCAAGGAAATTCCGTGCATTTTGATGAACTCACACGCGCTGTTACGAAGAAAGGTGGGCGCTTTGGGGACTCGTATTTTGCGTTTAACCAATTTTTTACATAAATAAAAGTGACGTAAGCAATCTGCTGGATCGTACTGTTAAAACCGGGGGGTTATGAATTGGAAACCCACGTGCGCTGAATTAACGTGTGTATGCAGATTTATTTTTTGAAGATAAGAAAAAAATAAAATAAAATAAAATAAATGTCTCACCTTTTGTATTCAGAACACATCACCACTGCCGACCCCATCGTTCTTCACCTGTTCGGGTCGGTCGATGGGCTACTACGCCGATGTGGAGACCAACTGCCGTGTCTATCACACCTGCGACGACCACGGCAACCACTTTACGCACCATTGCCCCGAGGACACGGCGTTCCGTCAAGACGCAATGATCTGCGATCACGCGTACCTCGTCGATTGCCGAGCCAACGCGGAAAAGGGCCTACCGATCCGCTTCAGCCAGGACAGCAACCACGACACGCTACCCTCGGAGCCTCGCGGCGAAGGTACCAACACGCGTGGCTTCGCCAGGTCTTTCAGGATCAACCCGGAAACCAAAAACGACTCGGTGACCAGCAAGTACCCGACCTTTAGTCTCAACTCCAGTGTGTTTCTCACGAGTCGCGAGACAACGAGCAGACAACCCACGACTCGGTGAGGATTTCCATTAAATTTCTTCTTTTTGCGAAATTTCACTATGAATCCTTTCCGTAAAGTTAATCCGAAATAGTTCGGATGAGAGTAATGATTTTTGTATGAAAAAGCTTCCAAGAGCCACAAACCCGCCAGCAGAAAACAGAATCGGTTGCGCAAAACGGCAAGGACTACCAGTCGCCGACGGGGTACCGATCGAGCGTCAATCCATCGCGAAACTCGGTCGTAACAACGCAAAGAGCTCCGGTTTCCGTGGAACTCCAGCCTCCCGTGGAGTCGTCCCAAACGACCCAAACCGGTGGAGAGCACCTGGACGACGAGTACTCTTTTTTGATTCCACCTCCGGTGCGCGACGACAACTACTACGTCCAGCAGCAAAACAACTTTGAATCCTTGAAGAACGACAACGCGCCGAGGAGCAGCTCCCAAAGCACCTTCAGAATCGTCACGCTGGACAACTTCCAGAAGGAGGGCACGACCCTAGCTCCGCATACCCAGACCATTCTGGAAATGGCCCGGTCCCGAGCCCTGGGTCGCGAGTTCAGTCCCAGCTACGCCAAGCCCGTCAATTACCTCGAGCCACCGCACTTTAAGCCCAACTTCCAGCAGACCGGCAAATCTAACCTCAATTTCCAATCCAACGATCCCTACAAGAACACCCTCTTGTCCCTCCAGAAGCTCAGCAGATCCTCATCCGCTGGCCAACCAACGACTACGATTGCCACGTCGAGGGTCCCGTCAACCAAACCACCTGTCGCCACCTCGATCTTCGCCGTACCGGCGAAAACTCTCGTGCCGGCCGGCGACGCGGACAGCGACCCCTACTACCCGAGATCGTCCACAACCGAGGCCTACTACACTCCCCGGTATCGTGAACACGGCTCGAGGAAGCCAGTTTTCACGTCGACGACCAAGAGGGGCCTGACGAGCAACGCCAAGTTCGAGATACCGGCCGTTCTACCCGATCTGAACAGTCTGGAGGACCTGCTCGATCGGCGAAAGTTCTTTTTCATACCGCAAACCAAGTCGGTGTGAGTGATTGGACGATTGAGGTGATCTTTTTTTACAATTTTGTATTTTTTTTTTTTTTTTCTTTTCGCCAGGATAATTATGTAAGTAGTACATACAGGTGTGACCACGATGACGATGGTTATTTGTCGCACTTAGCTCTGGTGATCCTGGTAAGGTGCTAATAATGCGGGATCACGTTTATTTATAATTACGTGCATGCATCGGTCTGAGCTTTGACACGATAATGTGCATGAGCTTTACGATGGGCTGTAAATTACACGTTTGCTGACGTTTTTACGCACTTTTTGATGAATGTACGTTGTTTCCATCGCACTTTTTTTTTCTCTTCTCTATTATTAAATTAATCATTTGTTTTCGCATTCAATATCTTATTGATTATAAACGTGCTTGCGCAACTATCATAATACAACGATTAAAAGAAGAATAGTGTGGATTATATATTATATCAGAGCATCTAAAAATAGTTTTTTTCAATTAAAACTTTTTCAGTCTCGCACATTATTTATACCTCTAGTTTATTAGCTTATCTCATTCAGTTACTAAACGAAAACCTCATTTTTTTAACTACCTGTTGCCAAGACATATCATTTAAGAACAATTTAATGTACACCATAAGTATTCAAAAGAAGCGATCGTAGGCGTTATTTATTTTACGTTGTAGTATATATATGATAGGCTATCCATATTCTTTGGTAAATATAATTTTGTAATCAATGATTTGGAAGACATGGTTTTTGTACATAATGCTATATGAAAAAGAAAAAATGTACATTAACATCACGTTGGACAACGATATAAATAAACGATGTAAGTCAAAAGACAAAAAAATATACGATACAAAAATACAGCATATGATTCATTATTACGACCTCACGTATACCTACTTGCGATTTCAAATGAGCTAACGCGACCGCAAAAGCCACAAGATGAAATGGTAAGTGATGATTTCGTTTGAATGCTGGTGGATAACGGATTGTCAACGGCGTGCACATATAGCACATCGGATGAGGCGTGACGGTGTGCGACATTCGACGAGGGAGACACATCTTTGGAAGTAATGGAGTAGTGTTCTTTCAGCTGTAAAATAAAAAATTGTGATTTTCAACGTGATGATCTGCATACACAGCGTCGTGGAATAGACGTTTCGGTTACGAAAATTAAAAAAGTTTCGGAAAAAAAGTACCGTCAAACGATTCATCGAGTTTTCACGGTTGCGCTGTTTTTGGGACGACGTTGATCTTGAAAATTGAGGTTCACATTAGCCCGTTCTGGCGAACTCGCACCGTCGATTATATCCTTGCCGCAATTTATGCACTGGGGCTTGCTTTTATCAGTTTGAAAAATCGAAAGTTTAAATCGTGTGAAGAATTACAAAGCTCCAAGTGATTGGAGAGTTTCCTATTTATATATGACGGAATATATGATTCTTTTTTTTCTTCGAAAATCTCGAAACATCACAAAAGGTTTTCTAATTAGCTTCACTTATGATATACTATCGGTTTTTTATTTCCACAACTTGGACGTCGTGAATGTTAGAGACGTTTATCTCCCGTTAAATTTCCATTTCGTTTCATCCACGAACAAAAAACAAATTGCAAATCAATGGCTGGCATCTCCCATTAAAAAATGGCACAAATAAAAAAAAAAAATTTGTATTCGTCGCTACAGTATCTCTTTGATGTACAATTAAAAACCCTTGCTAGACTCTCATTAGAATTGAAGTTCTTAATATTAATCGTCAAAAAATAAAGAAAAAACTTTTTTACCGATAACTCCTCTACACATCCATCAAAAAAAAAGCAAGAGCAAAAAAACTCACGCGTTTTTCCCCGTTGGCAGACCGACCATGTCACCGCATCCGCAAGGACAAGTCTTGCCCTCCTCGTCCTCGATCCCCTGACCGCAGTAGCAAGAAGAGTCAAACTGCGAGAATGCAAACAACGCGCGTTTATTTTATTTTATTTTTTTATCCCCTTGGAAAATAGTTCATGGGTCGACCGAAGCCTTCGCCGATCCATAAATGTCACACGGCGTTGACCGTCAAGAAAAATAACAGAGTACATTTCACGCGCGTGAGACATTTCGAGTAAAAATACACACCACTTTGCTACTTCTTTCGGGATGATGAAAAAAAAAAATATGCGCGTACGAATGCATTATTTACAATTTTGTTTAAACAAATGACCGAAAAGCAAGCAAAGTGTATAATACTTATGATCCCTAATAGGCAGTGCACCGGGTCGACACTGGAATTAACTTACGCTCGAAATGGATCCCAAGTACTGCGAGGACGCGATCCCGTATAAACCTGCAACCGAATCAACAATAAAAATATGCATGGATTCTGTGGTTCAAAGTGTGAAAAGCGTCCCTCTGCGATTACCTGGAAATCCTCCACTGACGCAGACTTTCAAGCACCCAGTGGGGCACGACGATTCAGAGCTTGAATCCGACTGTACGGAAACAAGGAGAAAAAGGATCTTCTACGGAAAATAAACAAACAAACAAACAAACAAGCAAAGGATTGTTGTACATACGCACCGAGCATGGCTCCGGTCGTGCACCTCCGCCAACGTCCCGGACCTCGGAGTCGCAGCGTCTCTGGCGGCGTCTAGCCTCGGCCGCCAACTTGCAACCCGAGCTCTTGGCCCGTTTCCCCGACTGGGTGTCCACTGCGCACTTGCACGGGCTGCACTTGGGTGGTGGTGAATCGAGGATGGCGTACGTGCCGGTTTTTAAGAGCGGCTTGGCTCTGCCGTTGGGGTTCGGCGGTGAGTCGCAGTGGCAGGATCTCAAGCCGGTCGCGTCGCGACAGACGCATGAATCGGCCCCTGCCGATCGCTCGGATGAGTCGCTTGGGTCCTTTTTTGCAGCCGAGTTGGGCGAGATTTTTTTTTTTTTTCAAGGGGCATTTTGGGTTTATACGGCGGCGATTGGTAAATTTAGTTTGAATCGGGGGGGTGTAAATCGAGCACCGGGACTACGTCTGGTCGAACCGTGGGGTGTCGAATGAACTCACGTTGCAGCAGTTTTCGTTGCTACACTGGTAGTCCGCGTAGTCACGGTCGGCGGTGATTTTTTCCGAGTACTCCTCGAGTAGTCGCAACTTGGTCGCCACCAGAGTGATCGGTTCGACGAGGTCGGACAGTTTCAGCTCCTTTTCGAAAGTAAAGGGTGACATTTAACAACACGAATCGTCGTAGCCGCCCCCTTGGGCTACAGTTTTCAAATCATCGAGTTACTTTGACCCTCTGGATCACGGCCTCCATCTGGTTGGCCAGACCCGACAGAGTCACTTCTTTCGAAACTTTGCTCTTTGGTGGACAATCGGTTTTTTCCGTGAATTTCTGGGAAACAAAGTTGAACGCGTTAGACGAACCGATACATATGTGCCGATTTCCTACGAACTTTTACTTTATCGTTGCTGCAGACACAGTCCGTGGGATTCGAGAGAACGTTACAGGACGGCATTTTTTCAGTGAGATGACCAAAAATTTTCACAATTTTTACACAAATGAATAATTTTACCGATTTACCGATAATTTCAACGTCAATGGGTTCGAAAGGGGTTATGCCAACACTCGGTGTTCCCGACTTCAGAGCGGAGGACAAAGAAACAAAAACCGAGAGCTGATCCTGTCCGCGGCTAAAAATTGAAAAGTTCAATATCAGCTGGATGAAAAAAAAAAAAAAAATTTGTAAAAAGTACAATGGAGTCCCCAAAACCAGCGTGTGAAGAAACATCGGGGCAGGAAGAGAAGCGAGACAACAGAAGGAGTTACTGGAAGTGTCTGTTGAAAAAGTACGAGGAGAAAAACGCGACGCTGGAGAAACGCGAGGCCGACCTGGTCGAGAGGGTTAAATTCATAGAGTGCGCGCTACCGACCCTGCTAATCGGAGCCATGATGAATCCGCAAGCGTCAAGGTCCCCTTCTGAAACGCGAATCAGGTCTGGAGATTTTATTACCACAAAGTTTATTTTGATGATAATTTTTGCACCATTTTTTCGCAGGACACAAGAGAATTCGCAAAAGGATACGGGTTGCGATTAATTGAATCGTTTGATAAACTACTCCATTCAATTTTTATGTGGGTTTGATGTAACGAAACGGAAAGTATAATATTTTCGATGAGTAACACTAGGTATTTTTTATTCGACAAATACAAGTTGTACAATCAGCTGATAAATAATAGTTAATAAACCTCGACGAAATCGCACGCGTTACTATGTTATAATTATTATTGTCACCTTTAAAATTAACACACGACGCACTCGAGATACACTTTGAAGTCTTACAACGCTATTGTATTTTATAACATGAACATGCTTTTTTTCGATACATTATTTTGATTAAAAATCTCATACGCTACATTCAATACAAATGTACAATATTTAACGCTAATTAATACGTCTAGTATACATACGTATTGCAGTGCATGCAGTTTACATATATCATGTGTTAAAATCTAATTTGCATCCCGAGGCACTTGTCGCTCGTAACAGAGAGAAAAATGAAAACGCCGTAATGCCTTGATTCGACATACACATGATGAGACGAGCGAAAAAAAAAAAAAAAGAAAGTACATCGACTAGACACAATATATACATACATGAGAGCCGGCGTTTTCTCAGTCACGGCAGTTTTGTGGGTTTTTTTTTTTTTTTTAGATAAACTTATAATTACGCATTACTTTAGACGAAATTCAATGTAAACTTTGCGTTACATTTTTAAAATTTTACTTGCTTTTTTGGTTGTACGGTCATACGTACCCTCGATACCAATTTCATTGCAAGAAAAACATTTTGTACCGATTGAATTTAATCTCTCTTAGTTTTATAATTTCAGTCCTGTAAAAGATATAACGTATATAGCCCATTCTTGTGACTCTTTTTGAAATCAAAATGTATTTGTATCGTTTCGCATAAACTTTTTGATAAACATAAATCATAAAAATAATCGCACCGTCACGTAGAAGTGAATAATCAAGAAGCACAATAGGGCAACGATCGATTGATTATTATATTAATGTGGAAAACGTCTGTGTTATTCCAAACGCATACACATAGTGCGAAATCAATAGAGTAAAATGATGCTTTTCAATTAGCTAAAGTAAAATAAACCTGATTGTACTATCGTTTGTTTTACACAATTGACGTGAAAAATCACAGCTCGGCAAACACATGTTTTCTTTGTTCTCAGGCACCCGTCGTTCGATTCTTTTAAACGTTGCTTTTCACGAAAACACTAAAAAAAATTAATCTTTGTGAAATAACAATTAAATCCCAGAGTTTCGTAAAGAGAATCACATCCAAAGAAACGAACGAAAATTCGATTAGCGCATTTCCCGCGGGACAAACGATTCTGGAGAAAAACGATCGATCAAATACTGCCTTGCATCGCTGACGTGAGTCCGGTGCGCGCGAAAATTCCAGCTGCTTCAAATGTTGGTCTGGTAAAACCCACGTACAGCTATTATTTCGAGCAGCTTTTCCGGTCTTCGTTTGTGCGGTTGTCGTCGGCATAGGTCTCGTGTACCTACACTGAGCACACCATTTCTGGTCGCCGCTTGGACTCGCCAAGCAACGCCAGCAGTTTTTACCCTGCAATTTTAAGTAAAAAATTGGACGTTTTTTTTCCCAGCGAATGAGGGTAACTTTTGTACATTCAAGATGATCACCTCGTCTGATGCTTTGAAAAACGGTTCTTCTCCAGCACGAAGGAAGTGCGATAAACGTACGTGATAGCCTGGGATCGTCGTTGACATCCTTACAAGGGGCTGGTGATTAAAGGAACATCATCTCCATCGGAAGTAGATGATTTGCTGCGAACACGTGTTACACAGTTCAAGATTTTTTTATTTATTCATATCGCTACATCTAATTTGCTTTGGCTATACTTTGTGCCAAGAGCATAATTATATTATATGTTTGTTATAGATGGACTTTTGTTTTAACAAAAGAGAAAAAAAAAAATTATATGACTATACTAAGTAAAGCAAAATGTACACATAATAGGCAACGAATCAGACACAATTGCAACATTTTAAGCAAACTATATATTTTACCATATTAGTATCGTATTGAGCTACTAATTTACGTGTTAATGAGCAATTCTACAGAAAAACTGTCGTTTGAAGTGACTCCTAAAATGTAAAAATTTTCATTTGTCAGCATTAAAATTATCTCTATAATATGTTACCCTAAGCTTACAGACTCAAAAGTTGCAAAATTTTAGAACGAGTTGCTAAAAGTCTGTTGTAATCGAGCTTGTAATCATATATGCCACGTATATCTGCCTTTGTCTTTCAATACGAGATAATATTTCATTCTTTTATGTAATTATAACTATTAGCCAACAATAGACGTGTTTCTAGAACAGTTTGAATAGTAGTTATTGATAAATAGTTGAACGTATGTAGATACATAAATTCAACATAACCTCAAATTTAATGATTAAGACGGGTTTTTCATTGACTAAACACTCGCTTTCTTCTGTCTTGGTACAAGAAACTAAATTATTATTTGGTACTTGGTCCTCTAAATGAGTGTTTTCTGTCAATTAAGTATTTTTTCCTCTCAAACTTTTAATTTAAAAAAGTACAAAAGTACAAAGTACTAAAGTAGCTAAATAGTGTTGTCAAAAAATTATCCGCCAGACTGCGCTACTTAGCGTTGCTGAAAAAAAAAAAAAAAATTTATAAAATACCTAACTGACGACTCGACGAGCAACGAGATGATTCTGTACTTTCACATGTCATTTCATTAGTGACACAAATTTGTATTTGTTTATTAAGATTGCGCTGACTACAATTAATATATATCTCTATAGATAAGATATCTGTTACGTGGGAATGATGTGTGTCCGGCGTTTCGCGAACGCAGTTGTTAGCACAGTACCTAATTAATCAGTGATATAATTTCCGTTGCCCTCGTAAACAAAAAAATCATACCGTCTTAATAGTTGATGTTTTGCAAATGTTAATTTCTTTAACGGTTCAAGCAAACTTCCTAGTTAAGTATACTCTGTGGAATTGCTCATCGGTACACGTCTACGCATTACTATGGATACTTTTTTTTACGAAGCGTTAAATATATAAGCATGAATCCGATTATTAATGACGGATGGTGTGTTTTTGCTAATGCCTTTGTTTTTAAAAAAGCAACGTTGATTATTGATTCCTAGAATGACATGATGAAAGGAGATGCCTGAAAAGAAATGTACATACATATGTAAGTAAAAACTGTAAACAAACGCCATAAGCTGCACAAGCAAAGCAAAATTTAATGAGATTCTACTTCGTTTTATTCGAAACTCGTCTGCACATTTTATAATTCAAGCCCCCAGCCAGCCGATGGTTGTTGTAGCAAAGCACCGCCACCGCCAATAACATCTATCTATCGTGTGTTTATTTTATTTCGATAAATGAAGTGAACTGCGCCATTCAACGGAGAAAAAGAAGGAAAAATGTTACCAAGTTAACTGACTCCACAAATATAGGTAGACATTGCGAAAAAGTTAGGAAAGAAAATTCACCTTTTGCCTCGGCAATCACGTAAAAGAAAGCGTTGGAGAATTTTCGTACATATACAATTAGATAATCCAGAACAATATGCATACAATGGGTATACGGAAGAATTTAAGTGATTATACAGAACTATACAACACTACGATGTGTAAGAACTAATAAGATAGAGTTGGTATAGAAGTATAAGACGTGGCCACAGAAAAACTACGGTTTTAATTTTATTTGTACATTTTTGCAGATTTCATGTCATATACTTGCCAGTAAAGCTTAAAAACTGCAAAACGTCATTTTCATCTTTACAAATGTCAAAACGCAAAAAGGCCATTACCTCTATTCTCCAAGCCAACGGAAAACTACGTGTTTTCTAAATATTGGAAGATGAAATAATTACAAGAAAGAAGAAGAAAAAAGAATATAACATTAGAAGTGAAAAATCAGCACTTCCGTAAAGAGGATGATAATAAATTGTCCATCTTTGGAATGCCAGGACCAAATAAAAGACAGCTGCTGCAAGAGACACTGACCTTGGGGAGGGCCAGAGACATTTAAACGATTGTAGGTACGTGAGCTTTTGGGTCGCCGAGCAGTGATTATTAAGGTCCGAGGCACAGAGCTAGAAATTCTCTCCGAGCATCTTGTCCAGCTGAATTCGTTCTCTTAAAGCCTCTCGGCGTTATGATCGTCGTATAGTTCTAAATACCCAAGAACAGTCGTTGAAAGTAATATTACATGACGCACAATTTAATATTATTATTACTATATTTTTTTCATAAGATAATCCCTTCGATCAATAATTTTAAATGACTCGTGACAGCAAAAAAATACTCGTAGCTTGTACTAAAATCTACTCATACGTACCCTATGGGTAAGGTTTAATTTTGACAAGCTCTACTATGTATTATGAAAAAAAAAAAAAATCTTTTTTCTTTTTTTTTAACAAAACCCCAGCTTCAGCACAAATTTTATCAACAAAAAATATTCCTGGTTGGTGGCGTGGCCGATTTTTCTGCACTTGAAGCCTGCGGCTATGTAGCAATTAAAAAAACAGCCAACTGCACTCCAGCATTCGTCATAAATATAATTATGTATAGGTATCGGTGATACAATCGAACAACCAGCTAACCTTTTTTTCGCCTGATGGATTGCCGGCGTCCTGCTGCGAAGCCGATGCTCCTGCACTAGCTCGCAACGATTTGTCCTCCTCTTTAGCTTCGGTCGCCACCTCTGCTGGTGGCCCCACAATCAGCGGCCTGCTCGTCTGTTCCTAATTGTGGATAAAATTGTTGGTTGGTACGTGGAGTTTTGGGAAACCAGTTGTAAATTGTTAATCTTTCGAAAATCAGTTTAGATTAAGTACAGGAAAGTGCAAAAAGCTTCGTATGGTATTTTTTTTACTGGGCGAAGCAGAAGTATTTTCATTGTTGGTTGTTGTTAGTAAGCCATTCAGTAAGTTAATGTTTATGTGATGTATTTTGGAAAATTTTTCTCACAATTAAATGTTAGGACTGCTGTAATTACAACTTACCTGGACGAATATAACTAATAAAGTTAAAACAATTCATAAGCAGAACATTAATTCGGAAAAAACATCATGAATATCGATGTAACAGTGAGTGAATCAAGTGAATTGATATGTAAAACGTATTAGTTATGTGAATGTGAAATATTAATTAATAAAGATCAAAATTAAGCAACAAAAATGAAGAAATAAAAAAAAAATAAAGTACAAACGATAATTGATTTTTAATTATTTAACAACAATGTGTAACAAAGTTTTTATAATAGTAGGGGATAAAGAGCTATTGAACGTACGTAAAAGTATTGCTTTCGAAAATTCGTAATAATTTTCAATTATAAGAAAATCGCTCAGCAATTTAATTGATAAAAAATTCTTACGAGTAAAAAAAAAAAAAAAAAATTAATCAAGTACATCAAGCGAGAGAAAAGGGTTAATACGGCGTGAGAAACTGCTATGCGATGCTTAAAAATTAATAAGTACAATAATTAATAAAATCCACGCTCTGGCATGAAGCCCACTGCTGACTTCAGCAGAAAAAAAATAAAAAATAAAAAAAGAACAATGACTCGGCTCTCTCGTGCGTCAACAAAAAAATTAGTATTTTACTACAAGCACAAAGCAAAAGCAGGTAGAGAGGCCCAGAGAACGGCCACGAGTAGTGATACCAAGAACCAGTAGACCCAAGCTGGACTCACATCGTCGACATCAGCGCAGCCGAGCACCTGGACATTGTTTAGCGAGATCGTCGTAACTCCCTCGATAGCCTTGACGATCGCTGAGTGCTGCACCTCTTCGGTCTGCGTGCAACTCACCGACGAGTCGACCTCCATAGGTTCTCCGGCGCCACTGATCTTTGAAAGTCGGACGCCGGCCGGCGACCGGTCGAGCCTCTCAAACTGCTCGACGAGCGACCGGTTGATCTCTTTTTGTGCGCTCAGCTGGTCGCTCATGTTCCTGCTCTTGGCCAAGTAGTCGGCTTCGAGCTTCGTCCAATTCTCGTCAGCATGGCGCAGCGTCTTGAAGAGGGCGCTCTCCCTTTGCTCCAGACTGGCTATCTGCTGGCGCAGGCAGATCTCCGTCCTGGCGCAATCCTTCCAAAGTTCACTGCACTGCGCGCAGGATTTGCTCTTCGAGGAGGACTCGGGAGTGGAGCTCGTCTCGTCGCACTCCTTGGGCTCTTCCAAGTGCACAAGGGCGGCTTTGTAGAGGTCGCGCTGTAGATGATAAAATTCATGAAACGATTCTCTTTTCATTTATTTTCTGCCCATGTAAAACGAAAGGAGCAGTTTAGAGGACTCACCTTGTACATGTGTACCGGCTCGGGTGAAAAGATAACACAGTCTGCGGGACCCCCACCATCGACCTCGTTGACCATCACCTCTGCTGGCTTAAAACTGTCGAGCACCTCGCACTGCTGGGAAGCGTCCCTTTTGGCCGGGACCTCGTCGGTCATGACCTCTGCGTCGCTGGTCAACCTAACCTGGTTCAGTTTAGACTCGAGTTTGTTCAGCTCCTCCTCGAGACAGTAGACCTTCTCGGCAAGTCGGTAGTTCTCGTCCAGCAGCTCCTCTTCCCTCTGCTTTGTGACCAGTCGCTCCGTTTCGTAGGTGCTCACTCGGCCCTCCAGTTCACCGATCTTCTGCCTGAGGGGTGCTATTTCAGCCGAGCACTCGCATCGGGGCTGCTCGGCGCTGCGATCGCCGACAATGGGTGACAGAGGTGGGATTGGAATCTTGGCCGCGCGCTCTTGAATACGAACCCGTAGCTCCTGGAGGCGCTGCACCTCCTGCAAGAGCTCACCGGCCGGCGCCTCGGTCTGAGTGCTCTGATTGCTGCAGCTGATCCCAGCGCCACCATCGAGCTGGTGCTCATACTCGGACTCCTCCTCTTCGAAGATTCCGCTCTCTTGGAGGGACAGGGGTGACTTTTGAGCTTCCGACGGTAGGGCTGGATGACTGTAGGTCGCCGAGGTATACGGGATTACAGTGGCCACCGCGCGGTCCCTGTGCTTGTTTGGCTGGTGCTCCTGAAATCGGGGGTGGTGGAGATTTTTGTTCAGACATCTTGCAAGTTTCAATTTAAGATTTTAATTGGAAATTAAAAAATCTGAGAAAAATCAGCGAATGCAGCATCTTTTAGCTGTCGTAAAGTAAAAAGCCAAAAAAAAAAAAAAAACGTTACAATGGAACGGTACGTGGAGAATCAGAACTGTGAAATGACTCGTGTTCCCAGACGATCATTAACTTGTCTATTGCATAATCGTAAAAAAACAATTGGAGAATTCCATCAGTATTAGCGATTAAAAGTACTTAGATATCTTATTTGCATTACTCGAAAGCCTTTCGCGAATGAGGAACAAGGGGAACGATACGGGGGATTCCCCGCCCTGTGTGATATACTGTACTGCAGGGCTTTCATCCTTTCATGCGCATTAATGGTGCAACCGAGCCGGGAGAAAGTGCGTATTCATGCGCAGAGGGACGCAGACAAGCCGCTAATTGGCTCTTAAATCGATGGCTTTTCGCGCATGCAGGAAGAGCTCAGGGAAACGCACGTGCCTCGAATTTACAGGCAGCGGCTGCCGATTTTTCTTTAATAAGTAGGTATACGAGCGACATCGTTGGAATTCTTAACTTTGCGGCCTACGCGCGAGTGGTTATAATTTCACGACTAGTTTCTTCGATGTGCTCAAATACACGTCAGCATCACAAGAAAGTGCAATTAGCCGGTTTAAATTATCCTCAAGCTCCGCGATGCGTGTACTATTACGTGAAAAATGAACCGTGGCAATACATGCCGTTCCCAAACACGTAATCCAAATTAACGGGTTCTAAAGGTAACTCTGATAATAATAATTTTAAAAAAAATTAAAAAAAAAAAAATCATATTTGACCGAGACTCACCTTGTACAGTTGTATCGGCTCGGGCGAGACGATACCACTATCCGCCGGATCGGGCGTATCTCTCGGATTGGGTGACTCCTCGAGCTCGAGTACCCGGAACTCGAGCAGCTCGTTCTGCTCGCGAAGCTCCGAAATTTCAGCCACGAGACTCGACTCCCGCTCGTTGGCCAGGCGAAGCTTCTCGTTCAGAGCGAGCCTACTCGTCTGGCTGCCCCGCGTCTGCAAATTCTTTTCATTCAATAGCCGTTGCAGGGAAGAAAAAAAAAAAAAAAAAAACTTCGAAACGACAAACCTCCTGCAACAGCGCCTTCTCGAGATCGCGGACTTGGCTCCTGGCGTGGATCAACTCGCTCTGCTCCTCGAGCAGTTTGGTCTGGAGCTCCTCGATCTCGAGCAGCACGCCCTCGTAGATGTCGCGGGTGACGCCATTCGGCCCGGCACAACCCCCGCGGCAGGCGCCGCTACCCGGCTGAGGCGACAGTGACGGCGGCGCGCTGGAGAGGGCGCTGTCGGCCTCCTCGCAGTTGCTGTGGTACTCCTCGCTCTCGTCGTCCACCTCGGCCACGGGCTCTAAGTTTATGTACTGCTTGTAGAACGACTCCTTGTGCTGCTTGCGCGCCATACAGTCGAGCTTGCGATCCTTTTCCTGTGGATTTTTATTTTACAATTTATTTACATGCTGTCACGCTATTAAAAAAAAAAAAATACATGATGGAATGTACCTTGACGGCTTGCCTGAGCACTTCGATGACCTCTTGCTGCTCGATCGCGAGCTCGCGCAGCCGGTCGAGCTCCGTGACCTCGTCCTCCTCGCACTCCACGTTGCACTGGTCCACCTGGAGGGAACGTGAAAATTGCATTGATTTTTGCATGTGTCACGGAACAATGTGTTACAAGTTTATTAGTAGGGGGTAAAGGTCGGGTTCCCACCTCGTGCTCGTCATTGTTGCGATGGATCTTTTCCTCGAGCCTCGGCGTCATCAGTCGAGTTTGGTGACTTTTGTCGGTCTCCCGCAACTTTCGCATCTGAAACAAACAAACAACAACAACAAAATGTTTAAAAAGACGTACAGAGATAACAAGAAACGCATTGGGATGCGTTAAAAACACAATCTAATCTGTTTTATTTTTCTTTTTCGCTTTGCGCATACATAATGAGTCGTGTGATATGTTTGGAGACCGCGTCGCGACGCGCGCTTATCTTTGCGCGTCAAGCTAATTACGGCGCCTCGTTGCAGCGCCAGCCCTCACGTGGGTATTATATATCTTTCCTACTTATCTTTCGTCAAATGGGAAGAATAATCTCTTGCGAAACGAGCTTGTGTTTTATGTAAAAGTATACGATTGTACGTTTTACATGGCTTGGAAAACGCGTGACTACGTGGATTTCGTTGGGCAAGTGTCAACTTTTGATGCAGGTACTCGAGGGAAAGGAAATCTTTTAAAATGATGAACACACCATAGAGTTGACTTATGGCACTCTATTGTAAAACTTCTATAGGTGTGAAATACATTCCTAATCCTCTAAAAAATCCGTTCAAGCAAAAGTACTTTCGTATTCACCACAATAATCGTACCCCGACGAGAGGACCATTATCACGCACGCTGGGGTCTGAAATTCCCGCAGATCCTTAAAGACACCAAAAGTGTACCCGCGTGGTACGGACGATCTCAGTGGTGCGATATACCGAATAAAAAGTACTTATTGCTGGTATACATGTGTACGAAAATCAAGAGCCCAAAGAGGTTCCCACAGGAGGTATTTTGCTTTTGCTTTCGAAAATCCGAGTAGGTATAATCAACACGCGCGAGAATTTTGGCGTGAAACTACTCGTTTTCGCTTTTCGTTTGCGAGTATAATATAATACGTGTACAAAAGGGATGGCTTTTATTACCCCACGTTATAGAGATGGGATCAGCGCAATGGTAATTTTTGTCAGATTTGCTCCGTTCTCCGGGGGGTAAGCCGGCAGCAGCACCTCGGTAATGTTAATTTTCGACGCACGCGCGTACTTACATGCTTGATACGTGTCGTGAGATTTTCGAGCTCAGATTACGCGAGCGTGTAACTTGGCCTATTGTGCAATGAGGCTCGTTTGGTCGACATTGCGAATTATTGTGTTTGAATGTTGCAAAAAAGGAAAATATAGTCAATTGTGTATATACCTAGCACGTGTATTTTGTGATTCTACATGAATAGAAACCACGCAGGTGGAGGAAATAAAAAGAAAAGACCCCCCACCCCCCGAGTCTCTCTTAATTTGAAAATTTCAACAAAACAAAGTATATTCTGTAACCACAATAATTTCAAAAAGTGTACAATAGCCAATAGGCGAAGGACGTACAAAGGATCCATAGTGTACGAAGGGAGGAAAAAAAAAAAAAAAAAAAAAGAACCCAAGGCAGAGTCGTCAGCGATATCTGCACGACGACAGGCACATGTCGTTGCAGCGCACAACGCAAAACCGCTCGCCTATGGCAGTAAATCAACATCTCATCTCGCGTCGCGCCGTAACTTTCGTGTACAAGTACACCATAGCCTTTCTCTCTCTCTCTCCCTTTTTCCACCTCTCGCTCAAGAGACGTGAATATTATTATTATTATTATTATTATTATTATATATTATGATGCGCTGCATCGCTCGTCCTCGGGAGCTGAAAAGTCGTATTCGCGAAACGCGAGCTCGAGAAATAAGTTACGATGATGGGCTCTCAACTTTTATATACGTTCGTCGAGTCGTCCTCGTCGTCTTCTCGTTTATTATATGGTTTGTTATACGTAAAGGTGTATTGCCGATCACCCGGGAAGTTTTCCAGCTGACGGGGAAGTGTCAACTTTTTTTCGAGCAAATCAAATTTTCACGCGGTTCAAGTCCATGGCAACTGATGGAAAGCAGCGCCTTGAACTTTTACACCAACTGTGCAGTTTGTCGATAAGGAAAAAAAAAAAAAAAAAAAAAGTTATTTTTACCATTCGCTATCTCAGTACACGAGTAATGGGTATTGGGCTTACGAAGCAGCGAGTAGGAAGAGGAAGAAGACGGAGGCACAAGTAAAACCCATCGCGTCTCGAGTACTAAACGAAGCGACTTTTTTTTTTTTTTCTCGAGTACACTGCAGATGTAAGCGAGTACCCATGTACGTTCACGTGACACAGATACCATGTCCACGGAGAAAAAGGGTCCCTCGCTTCGCACCGAGACGACATTATTCGCACAGACGCCAGAGAGACTCCTTAAGCCCCTTTATCTATATATGTAATGTAGGTATTACGTGTACAGTAAGAGGAGTGGACCACGGGAGTAATAACGGTGTCCAGTGGTCTCGGCTATTGGCACTGTAATTAAAATGAATTGCTCATTGTAAGGTCCTCATGCACGGCTCACTCGCTCGTCTCTTTGCTTTCGTATACGCATTGTACCGACCAATGGCTCTTGGAATTGAAGAGAACAAAAGAAAAGCACACGTGGGAGATACGTCAAAATGCGCCGTGATGGAGGAAAAAAGCAACCCGTTTTGCGTAATTTTATGCACGACTGATGTATATATACGTATGCGCTATTCACCGGAAAAACGGGTAAATGTGTGTGTGTTTTTTTTTTTTTTTTTTTTTTTTTTTTTTTTTTTTTTTTTTTTTTAATCAAAAAATGTTACATTTTTGTGATTATACTTTTTTTACCATACCTTCGATGTACCCTCGAATATACCGCACTGCTGTCCTGCTCGGCGACCGAAACTAAAAGAACGAGCTCGCAAATGAGCGCTTGAGTTTCTATGTACGATGAGACGCGCGCATTGACAAACCGTTAACTGAGTGATTAAAACGTCGTTATAAACGAGGTATTTTTGTTTGGCGTTTATGTTTGTTGTTTTCTTCGGGACAGGACAAGAGAAAAAAAAAGATCGGATCAATGACTTTCCCCGACTGGGATAAGTACAACAAATAATCATTTTTTTCTTTCAACAATATCTGAAATTACGACATCATGTAAAACGACTTGTTTGTAATTGTTGAATAATAAAAGAAAAATAATTTTTTCCTGCAAACATGTTTTAACAATCTCTACCATGTTTGAGTACCTTCCAAAGGATATTGGCTGTTCTGTCAGTGCATACTGAACGTACTCGAACCCAATCGCCGAGCCGTCACTTCAAAGCGCTACACCCGCTCCATACCGATCGGTATACGAACAAACGCCCCGACCCTTCGATCGATCATATAATTCACGTGCCGTCCACGTGATGGTTTAATTTTCCCGTGATCAAAGAGCAAATCTCAAGCCATTGTAATCCCACCTTCTGTCGTACATACCGATATATCAAACGCTCGCCCATACCGATCTTTCATCACAAATGTAATACCGATCAGAAGCAGCATCGACACTTAAAAATCAAACGGCCATCAAAACCAATGCAGGGACAAAGGAAAAAAGGTCGGCCGTTAATCAAACGTTGCGTATATACATCCACGCACAATATTGCGCCCGATCGCTCGGTACCGCGGGAAGATGACCGTTAGCTTGGCCCGCTGACATACAGATCGAGACACTCGCTTTCTCTGTCTCCTCCTCACTGCTTTTGGGGCGGGGGGCTCGTCGTCCACCTCGGCCACGGGCTCTAAGTTTATGTACTGCTTGTAGAACGACTCCTTGTGCTGCTTGCGCGCCATACAGTCGAGCTTGCGATCCTTTTCCTGTGGATTTTTATTTTACAATTTATTTACATGCTGTCACGCTATTAAAAAAAAAAAAATACATGATGGAATGTACCTTGACGGCTTGCCTGAGCACTTCGATGACCTCTTGCTGCTCGATCGCGAGCTCGCGCAGCCGGTCGAGCTCCGTGACCTCGTCCTCCTCGCACTCCACGTTGCACTGGTCCACCTGGAGGGAACGTGAAAATTGCATTGATTTTTGCATGTGTCACGGAACAATGTGTTACAAGTTTATTAGTAGGGGGTAAAGGTCGGGTTCCCACCTCGTGCTCGTCATTGTTGCGATGGATCTTTTCCTCGAGCCTCGGCGTCATCAGTCGAGTTTGGTGACTTTTGTCGGTCTCCCGCAACTTTCGCATCTGAAACAAACAAACAACAACAACAAAATGTTTAAAAAGACGTACAGAGATAACAAGAAACGCATTGGGATGCGTTAAAAACACAATCTAATCTGTTTTATTTTTCTTTTTCGCTTTGCGCATACATAATGAGTCGTGTGATATGTTTGGAGACCGCGTCGCGACGCGCGCTTATCTTTGCGCGTCAAGCTAATTACGGCGCCTCGTTGCAGCGCCAGCCCTCACGTGGGTATTATATATCTTTCCTACTTATCTTTCGTCAAATGGGAAGAATAATCTCTTGCGAAACGAGCTTGTGTTTTATGTAAAAGTATACGATTGTACGTTTTACATGGCTTGGAAAACGCGTGACTACGTGGATTTCGTTGGGCAAGTGTCAACTTTTGATGCAGGTACTCGAGGGAAAGGAAATCTTTTAAAATGATGAACACACCATAGAGTTGACTTATGGCACTCTATTGTAAAACTTCTATAGGTGTGAAATACATTCCTAATCCTCTAAAAAATCCGTTCAAGCAAAAGTACTTTCGTATTCACCACAATAATCGTACCCCGACGAGAGGACCATTATCACGCACGCTGGGGTCTGAAATTCCCGCAGATCCTTAAAGACACCAAAAGTGTACCCGCGTGGTACGGACGATCTCAGTGGTGCGATATACCGAATAAAAAGTACTTATTGCTGGTATACATGTGTACGAAAATCAAGAGCCCAAAGAGGTTCCCACAGGAGGTATTTTGCTTTTGCTTTCGAAAATCCGAGTAGGTATAATCAACACGCGCGAGAATTTTGGCGTGAAACTACTCGTTTTCGCTTTTCGTTTGCGAGTATAATATAATACGTGTACAAAAGGGATGGCTTTTATTACCCCACGTTATAGAGATGGGATCAGCGCAATGGTAATTTTTGTCAGATTTGCTCCGTTCTCCGGGGGGTAAGCCGGCAGCAGCACCTCGGTAATGTTAATTTTCGACGCACGCGCGTACTTACATGCTTGATACGTGTCGTGAGATTTTCGAGCTCAGATTACGCGAGCGTGTAACTTGGCCTATTGTGCAATGAGGCTCGTTTGGTCGACATTGCGAATTATTGTGTTTGAATGTTGCAAAAAAGGAAAATATAGTCAATTGTGTATATACCTAGCACGTGTATTTTGTGATTCTACATGAATAGAAACCACGCAGGTGGAGGAAATAAAAAGAAAAGACCCCCCACCCCCCGAGTCTCTCTTAATTTGAAAATTTCAACAAAACAAAGTATATTCTGTAACCACAATAATTTCAAAAAGTGTACAATAGCCAATAGGCGAAGGACGTACAAAGGATCCATAGTGTACGAAGGGAGGAAAAAAAAAAAAAAAAAAAAAAAAATAAGATAAATCCAGCGTGACATTGGATTTCACGATAATTCGGAAAATCCACCACCCGCGCAACCTCGGGTCAAACGGGGAATAGCCGGTCTCGTGCTTTCTGCTTCCAGCGTTTGCCACTGCGGCAGGGGATCCGAGAGCCTTTATGCAACTGTGCCAATCGTATGGAAAATTTTGCACGCGCTCTATCCCATTGCTGCCGGCTCTTTGAATTTGCTTCCACGCGCGGGAGTACACGCGTCACGTAAAATGACTTGGGTTATTGTTTCCATTGTTTTTTTTTTTTTTTTTTTTTTTTTTTTTTTTTTTTTTTTTTTTTTTTTTTTTTTTTTTTTTTTTTTT